TTCACCTCGTTTCCTCCGGGCAGCCTGTTCATCTGCACCAGGCGACCCTGGGAATCCAGCACTAATTCCGTGTAAGTCAGGACATCCATGGGGCATCCTTCTGTGGGACCCCATAGTTTGAAGACAGCCTGAAGGGAAATCAAGGGAGCAACGTCAGAGCGGGGATGAGAGGAGCACGGAACCATTGGAAAGAGAACTGGTAACCAAGCCTTTCCTCCTGCACAGCCTCTCCGAGAAAGCTTGTTCCCAGGGAACTGGATTTCCACCATCCTATCTATGTGACGGGAGACTGAGCTAAATGCTTACATTGCAGAGACTGGGGAGAGATTGGCTAGAGTCCTAGAAAGCGTTTCCTCCACCCGGCGGGGGGGGGGGAGGAAGGACCGAGGACAAGGCCTCTGAGCACCTGCCCGGCTCAAGCTCACCTGGCGGAACATCTCCAGGAAGTCGTAGACGTAGGTGGTGCCGAGCGACTGGGCCTGGAAGCGCTTGGCTTGGAGCAGGTCCTTCGTGACGTAGGGCGTGTTGATGAGCATCCCGTGGAGAGGGCCTTGCTTGTCTCCGTAGGAATGGAACATGATCTGAATCAGGGAGGAAGAGCAAAAACCTTAAATCCCTTCTTTCCACCCTGGCGCTTTTGAAGCTCAAGTGACAGCAAGGACTTGGACGTCCAGTCCAGGCAGAAGAAGGGGGCGTCCTTTGTTCTGGAAAAAAAAATCCCTGCTTTCTAGATGTTGTAGGCAAGTGGGGAAGAAGTGTGACAGATGGGAATTGTTGTCCTACAACATCAGGAGAGCAACCTTCTGCTCACTGCTGCTCAAGGCTTATCCAAATCCCAAATACAACACCTTGAAGAGAGAATAAGGTTTATCCTGTCAAGCACAGGGAAGCCAGCCAGAGGCCCCGTCAGCCAGACACGGGGTGCCACAGCACCTTCTCCCTCATGTTCTGTACCCACTGACATGCGAGGGCACATCCCCACTAACCCCAGAGGGGATCCATAACTTTCTTGACTGGTAGCCACGGCACCTGTCGGTCTGATTTCCCTCTGTGGCCGACTGGAAATAGGGACTCAAAACGGGCACTGAACTGGCCCCCAGCTCAACCCCCTCCCTCTGGATCGGCCTCGAGGGGCCAAGGCTTTGCTGGAGCCAAGGAAAGGGGTGCCAAGAAGGGAGGCCGGGAAAAACAGGCAGACAACCGTCGGGGATGGTGGTGTCGGGGGGCCATTCCGGTTCGCAGACACCTACGCTCCCAGTGCTGGGGTCGTTGACTTCCTTGTAAAGGCTGATATCCAGGTAGTATCCCGACTCATCGGTGAGAAAGAGGCGGATGGGGATGGCTTGAGCCGTCGGAGTCAAGCGGATATTGATCTTCACCTCCGCTTGCAGGACCCGGAGTTTCCAGAGGCGGCTCCCGTACCGCATCACCATGGAGCGCACGGATTCCTCAATCTGGGGTCATCGGGATAAAAACAAAAAAAAAACTCCTTCTTAGCAAATGCAAAGGCAGACTAAATGATAAAAGGAATGAGTAACCCCTTCCATGAACTGCTTTCCCTTCTTGTCACAGGAATTCGTCCTCCTCCTCCGAGATGTGTCTCAATTGATAACCCAACTTGTAAATTACGCCTGTTTGTTGACCAATCCCAAAGCACAAAATGAAAAAATGCAAGGCACGTAGATAAAGAAAATTGCATGATGTGACACACAGATGCCTTTTTATCTTTTTGAAGGTGCACCTCTTCGAAAAACGGGCTAAGCCGATCCTGCAGTTTCAGCTTTTTCTGTCTGGTACAAAAAGGGAAGCAAAGGGAGAGAGAAAAAAGACTCAGACCTTGGAAGGGTCCATAACCACCGTGGGGACAAAGTTGAGGAAGATGTGGTTGCAATCGGTGCGGACGCTGGTGTTACTGAAGGCCACCTCCAGTTCATCCATGGCCTCCAGAAGCAGGCGCTCGCCCTCGTTCTGCAGGTATTCAAAAGAGGCCTCCTGGTGCCAAAAGAAGTCAGAAAAGTAGAAAAGGACAAGAAAGGGCTAAGAGCTTCTGAAGAAGCAGATGCCCCGTATTGCCAGCACCCAGTCTATTTCCAAACACCCATTCGCGGAAGAGAAAACCGTCTGGGCCTGCTGGCAGAATGACCCACGGGGAGGGAGCTTCACCGCCTGGGACCAGCCTCCCAAGGCCCTCGCTTGCATCCCGACCAAACGTGTCTAGGAGGGTGTCGGGACACAACGTCGAGCTTCCCCCAAAGATCTCCAGAGACCCGGAAGGCACGAAGGGGAGAAGGCTGTTACCATCCTCCAGGCACAGCCTGGACAGAAAGCCGGTTTTACCTTGGTGATGAGGTCCGAGTGTCTGACGATGGCACGGATGAAAAAACGGTAGTCGGTGACTTCGGCACCTTCCTCCACCTTGGCAGCGCCAAGGTAAAGATGCATCTTGTGGTTGGCGCACGGCACGGCCACCAGGTCAAAGTTGCGCATCCGGCTCAGCTCCAGCTGGAACGCCAAAGCCGGCTCCAAGTGCCGATAGATACGATCTTCTGCAAACTGCAGGAAAGGCCATCCGAGTTGAGGACCTACGGCCAGAAGCAGGCCCCCAAACGAAATCTCGTTCCGGAGTGGCGGTTCACCACTTCTGGGCCCCCATCATCCCTCACTGTGGGCCACAGCAGCCGGGATTTTGGGGAGATGATGCCCTGAAAGGGCCCAGGGTGGAGAGCCAGGGGCTCAGAGAGTGGGGTCACAACAGGACAAACTCCACGCTCACCTCGTCACGGGCTCGGAAGGTGAAAAACTTGGGAAACTCCCTCTGCAACAGACAGAAAAAGTTGTAAACTTGGGGGGGGGGGAATAAGGAGATCCAAAGTCATTAAAAAAAACAAGGCATTAAAAATGGCATGCTTATTTCTAATTGGCAGAATTAATAGCCATGAGTGGAGGGGGGGGAATAACAACCGCACTGTGAGTTTAGAGAGAAACAAAAGACCAATACACCAAGTTGAGGACAATTCACCAGCCTGGCTTGTAAGTGAATGGACTTCTCTGGTGGGAAAGAAAACCACTGTCTCTGTTCAGGCCCCAAGGAAGAGAATGAAGCTTCAAGAGAGAGACTCCACTAACCTGTTGGGTGATCAGAAATGTGATTCTTCGGAGGCCACAATCAACCAGAATGTTCTTCTGTATGGAAAAAAGAGAGAAAGAAAAAGACAATAAGAGACAAAAGTAAAGGTTTAAACCCAAGGGGGAAAATGTTCTCAAATACAGACCAAATCTTTAATCTCTTAGAGAACCACAGGAAAACAGACGGAAAAGTTACATCTTCCACACGTCCGGCTTCACCCTGAGAATCTGCCGTTGCAGAAAGGGTGCGATTCAATGGAGGAAGGCTGGTCGAAATACAATTTTTAAAACCCAGACAAGCAGAGAGGGAAAGCACTGGAAACCAGGACCTGTGTTCGGCTGGGTATTTTTTTTCACACAAACAGCCCCCCCTCCTCTATCTACGCCAAGAAGTCAGCAGAAGGTATACGACCTTAGACTGAGCAAACGCTCTGAAGACAGGCACCAGCTGCTCATCCTCCGGGAAATCTGCCCACCGCACGGCGATGTTCAGGATGTGGATGGGTTCATCCCGGACATTCTGGAAACCACAAAGGTAGAACAGGATAAGTGCCAGGCCCGGCGGGGCCAGCTTCATTCCAAGAAGGCAGCTGGTGGCATCAGGCCTCTTCCTCCTCCTCCTCCTCACCTTGTTGTCTTCTTCATCATAGAGCGTGGCCCTCACCTCGCTAAACAAGGGGCTCTCCAGAGGGGGTTCGGCAAAGCAAGAAATCACCTCGTCAAAGTTTCTGGCATCAAAACAAGGAGGGGGTGAGACAGGGAAGGCAAAGGAATCAAAGCGAGACCAAGAGGCCCTTGTGTTTCACGTCATTTGTTTCCAAACATTCAAAGGACCTGCTCACCAAATGTCTCTCACTCTCTCTGGGCAATGTACAGGTGGTCTCAAAATAGAAAATTACTTTGAAATGCAACAAGCGCAGAAGCCAGCGGCGGCTGGAATCTGCGGGGTACGCAATCACGATAAAACAGGGGAAACACAGAATAAAACATTTTAATTAAAATTAAATTAAAAATTAAAATCAGCAGCAAAAATGCAAAGATGGAAAAAGATTAAAACAGTAAAAACACGGAAGGCTTTTATTGAGTACTGGAGTGTTTCGCCTCTCTCTAGTGATCAAGCATGTTTTTTTTAAAAAAGGTTAAACCACCAGCAAGAGATGGTCTAAGGCAGCCTTTGCCAACCTGGAACCCTCCAGGTCTTTAGGACTGCAACTCCCATTATGCTTAGTTGGCATGGCCAGTCGTGAAGGACAATGGAAACCGTAGTCCAGCAAGGGCCGTGAGGTCTTCCTCCCTGTGAAATCCAGGCCAGGGGTGGCACCGAACTCCCATTATGCTTAGTCGGCATGGCCAGTCGTGAAGGACGATGGAAACTGTAGTCCAGCAACATCTGGAGGGCCGTGAGGTCTTCCCCCCTGTGAAATCCAGGCCAGGGGTGGCACCAGGACACAATTCATACTGCGCCTTGCCAAAAAGAGGTCTAGCGTTGGTGATTTCGTTCCCGAGGGAGACCATGCAAAGGTAACCCTTTTGCGCCTGTGTGAGACCACAGATCTGTCAGGCTGGGAAGTTCTCCCCCACACAGATCTGATGCTGAACTTGGGGGGGGGACCACTGGGGGTGGGGGTGAAGAACATCTCCAAGAAGGCCTTTAAAGGATGCTTTAGCAAAAAAAAAAAAGCAAAAAAGGCTTCTACGAGTGACAGAGAGAAGAGCCGGCCAAGCCGGGAAGGGAGCAGGGCATTCAGAGCAGCTCGGAGACCGAGGTTCCTCCCACCTTCCTCCAGAAACGTTGCCCCAGCTACCTGGTGAAGTCTTCAAATCGGTCGAAGGCCACCATGGCCCCCATCCGCTGGCAGAGAGGGGAAAACCCGCTGTCCATAAAGAGCTCGGTGCTGTGGCGGGCCAAGTCGGGGTTGGAGATGCTGACCGGCACAGACATCCTACACAAGAGGTTGGGGGGGGAACAGCACAGGGAGGAGACTCAGAGATGGCACCACATCACTCTGATGACCAAGAGTTCTGTGGTGCCATCAAGACTGACACGTTTTCAAGTGTCCAGCCAGCTCGGGGAGGGCTGCTCATTTCATCAGATGGAAGCGGCCAGCCGTCCACGAATGTTTAAAGCCAAATGGGGCACCACTAGGTTCATTTGTCTGGGCTAGAAAACACCAACACGGCCACCCTCTGTGTACTGCTACGGTTAGAAGTGTAAAAAAGTAGTAGAATTAAACAGGGCAAAACCAGAACAGAGGCATTCCAGAACAGCAGCAACAAGAAGTTGGAGAAAGGGAGGGGGGATCTGAACGTCCCTGCACAAGCTCTCTCTCTCTGTCCTTGGGTTGTTGTTTTTTTCCCCCTCCCACTTTCTGAGAAAGAGAAGAAGCCGCTGGGGCCAACCTCTGCCCTGCTACTGGCGGCGTCCTTCCCAATGGGCAAACTCTCAGCACGATCTCCATAAAAACAAGTGCCAGTTACAGGCAGGGAAAAGTAAAAGAGGCAGCAGGAAAAGAGGCTGACTGACTATGCAATGGACCGGCTCCATAAAAGAAGCCGTGGATGGCAGAGTTTGCTGTGGGTGTTTAAATCATCCTTTGGGTTTGCCTGGAAGTGGTCACACTGCTACGGAAGCACCAAGGCCCATATGCGGTTAAGGAATTAAAACAGTTATTGGGCTGAAACGGAATAAACTTTGGCAGCAGAGGGGGGGGGCGAGAGGCTCTTCCACCTTTTACATGCTTGCCGGGAGAGCAAAAAAATCGGGGGCTTCAAAAAGCAGGACTCGGAAGGGAAGGGCAGCAACCAAGCAGTCACGGCAGCCAAGGCTTTTTTCGGCAGCTGCTACTCACACCACAGGAGAAAAGAGGAAAGGGCCCACTCTACCTGCTCAGGGCAGGGCTGCTCCCCCTGAAAATACAAACCAACAGCGCTGGTCTTGTCTCGGATCAGCCCTTGTCCTGGCTTGTCCGACCTCAGGAAAAACACCCTCTCCCAAAACTGGCTTCTGGGAGCTGTCGCCGAAAACACGGGACTGTTCAAACTTTTGGGACAGCCAAGGTAACAAAAGCAACCCATAACGATAGATGTGTTCCAGGTCCTACAGGAACATCCATCAGGACATGGGCTGCATTTCTCCCCAAAGGCCTGGGAGAGCCCGGGGGCTAGGCTTCCAGGACCGTTCACCTAATTAAGAGGGGCAGCTTCCTTCTCAGACGACTTGAGCCGATGCTCCCGGACGAGAGGCCCTTACCTGTTCGGATGAGACGAAGGCAGCATGAACTGAAACTCGACCACACAGGTGCCATCTGCCAGCTGGCGGTGCTGCAGGCTGTTCAGTTCGTAGGCGATGTAAGCCCTCCTTACGTACACCTGGGAAGGGAGAGGTGTTTCAAAGGCCAGCCGCATCCCACGTCTTCCCCTCTGGGGTGGAAAGCACGTTCGGACCGTAATCAAAGGTACACGCCCCGACCAGATGAGACCGGGACCAAAAAAAGGAGTGTCGGAGAGGCAAAAATGGATGGGACGCTGGCAGCCTTCAGCAACAGCCGGGCTGGCCAGGAATTCTGGAAACCCAAGGTTGGGAAGCATCAGAGTGGAGTTTAATGACTAGCTGAGTAACCTGCAGCCTGGTTAGCTTAAGAGGTTCAAATCCAGCAGTCTCCCCCCCTGTCTGAACGATGCTGTCTGGGCCGCATAGCTCCCCTTGAAGAGGAACTGAGAGGGCCTTGCTTATTCAAACCCTAAGACAACAGTGGCCAACGGAAATGAAGTTGTGGCATTCAACGATACAGTGGCGAAATCTGTTCTTTTGGGGAGGGGAGGGGGTGGGAGCAGCCCCTCGTACCTGGCTCAAGCGCCCCCTTCCTCAAAACCCTCCCAGTCCTTGCTTTACCTCCAGGGCCGCCATGCGCACCACCTGGTTGGAGTGGTAGAAGAAAGTAGGGAGAACGTCAAAGATGGTAGTTTCGGAAAGGATGAGTTTCTGCAGGGGAGAAAATGAACATCATGTCAGCAAAAGAGGGCCACAAGGATCACATGGTCTTTTATGTATTCATTCATTCGTTCATAGACATGTGAAAAAGAAAGTACACCCTCTTCGGATTCTATGTCTCAGGGACCATAATAAAAATCAGCTGGTCCTGAGCACGTCTGAAAATGAGGGAAAATGCGACCTCTCAGATGAACGGACAACCCAGGACATGTTGCACCATGGCGTGACTTATTTTACCAAAACAAAGCCAACGCTTTCTTTTCCACACGACTGTCCATGCGCGGCACCCAGACGCGCATTGCCTCCAGCGAGCTGGGCTGACCTTTAGGTTTTCAGGGCAGAACTGGTGTCCGTACATGTCGATGGCCGAGAGGAAGATAGATTCCACTTGGTTGTGCCTCAGTTCGTAGGAAGGGAGGTGGGAGGCGATCAGCACCTGGGAGGGAAAGGAAGGGCAGATCGTGTCCACGTACAGGATGATGCGAGCAAAGGTGGAGAACAAGACACCCAAGTTATTAGGGGTGCTGCAGCAGCCGCAGCCAGGGAGGTTACAATCCAGCAACCAGGGTGGTGCCAATCAACACAATTGCTCACTTCAAGAAGGTGTCTGCAAGGCTGTCGCCAAATCCTTCAAAGTTCTCTAGGCACATGGATGTGTTTTTTTAAATTCCCTTTATTTGTTATTGTGTTTAAACAGCAATTTATTGTCATTACTCGTTATCGTAGCTTAATTTTAAAGGACAACTTGTTCGGTGGCTTTTTCTCTTTGGGGCCGGATGATCAGAAAAGGACCCGTAAGTTTTTAGAAAACCCCTTCTTAAAAAAAAAGCTCGGAAAGGTTGAAAAGTAACTTTGTTCCCACCGGCACGACATCCCCATTACCCCAAAAGCAACTTGTCACATTGAACTAAGCTCCTCGGAATGCCTGGCTTCCAGGTCCTGTGCTTGCTCAGGCCGGTGGTGGGCAAGCGAGCGGGATTCAGAAAGCCCCAGTCCGGGGGGGGGGAGCAAAACCCTCCCCAACACAACCACCTTTTCTCCGGCCAAATGCCTCCCGCCTTGAGGGCGTCCGTAAGCGGAGGGCCAACGAGTCCGAATCGCCGCCCCCGCCGCCCCACCCACCTGCCTGGCCCGCAAAGCCACTCTGGAGTGCTCCGTCTTGCTCAGCTGGGTGAGTTCGTTCAGGATGGCCATCAGCTCGTCTGTGAGGGTGGGGTCTCGGCCGCAAAGCTGATCCTGGACAAGGAAAACCAAAACCCAAACCTTCTCTGTTAGCGGCTTAGCCATTCCATTTTCATTCGGCCTCCCTCTTAGATAAGGACAAAAGAAATGAGCTCATTGGAAGCATTCTAACGTGCGCACACAGAGAGAGAACAAACATCTGGGTATCGAGGTCCGCACAAGTCTGTTGTAAGAACAAACAGAGCCTAAATCTTGAATGTCAACTTTAGTAAGGGTTGACCATTTATTTTTTGAATTCCACATTGCACCCTCTAGGCGTTGTGTTCGATGTTAAAGAGTTTATAATTTCACTGCATAAATACGTACCATTGGACTACCCTGAAAGATACTGGCTCAACTTATTTTGGAAGCTAATCAGGACCGGGTGGAGGGTAAGGATTCCAGGAGCACTGGAGAGCTCCGGGTCCGGCTAGGAGCTCAATCCAGACTGAAGCCGGACAAAGTTGTGGCTGCCAGCCAGAGCTAGCAATGCTAGCCCAGATGGGACGGGACCCAGGAGAAGGGAGCTTTTTTATGCACACTGGAATTCCAGGGCTCACGTCTTCAACCCTCACAATTCACCCCCCTTCCCCCCCGAAGGAGGAGCCGCTCCCCTCCAACTCACAATCAGCATGGTCACCAGCAGGTTCTTCTTAGCCACCTGGGCGTGGGAGAAAATGCTCTCAAGGACCGGGGTCATGTCAGGCATGTGCTGCTCCCGCAGATTGACCACACATTTGTCATAATGAGCTGAAACCGAGGAAAAAAAAGAAGTTTAAAAAATGGAAAATCCACATCTCTCCTCCCAGTACTTGTTGAAACAGCGGCACAACCAGAAAAGGCACAGCGTTAAAGCACCGCTAAACAATCTGAACAGCAAGAGGAGAGTTCGATTAAAAGCAAGTTCAAGTGCTGTGAGAATCTTCCACTTTGGGAAACTGCTTCTATCCTCCGCCGCCCCCCAAAAAAACACACCAACCAACCAACCAAAAAAACACCAAAACCACCAGCTAGATAACAAGGTGGTGAAGGGACAATGGACGCAAGACCAGACTAGCCTCTCTTGAGAGAGATTCCACAGCCAGGAGCAGCCACCAAGAAGGGCCGCCTGGCGTCTGCGCCCTCTCACCTTGTTGGAATTTGGTTTCCACCTGTAAATATCGTCTCAGTAGGTCCAACACCACGGATTTCATGTGACCACGGATGCCGCTGCGATACCTAGATGGGGAAGACAGAGAGAAGATGGGGTTGGCTTGGTTGTTCAGGCCAAGAGAAACCATGGGCTTTCGGGCTGCTGAAAAGGTCTCCAGGGACACTTCCTTATCCTCACGATGCACAGGCAGCCCTGACTATTATGGCCAACAGCTTTTGCAGGTTTCTGACTGAAGAAAACCTGCTCAGCCTGTTGATAGGATGTGTATCAATACATGAGGAGGGATACCAGTTCAAAAACTTTCCTCTCACGTCTGCCAAAAATATCACCCATCACCTACGTTAGTGGGCTAACTTCAAATTGTGGAAGCAAAGCCAATTGGATGAAGGTATGTGAGAAATGGTTGGCTCTCTCTGTGTGTGTAGAAGGTGGAAAATTTACCTCTTTGGTTCACAACTCCCCAAATGCTGAAGAGTTTGGGAGTTCTTGTTAAAATTAGTACTTTTCCAGCTTCTGAATATATTTATGATGTATTGTGTAAGGGAGAGCTAGGCTGTATTTAACTAACAGATCAAAAGTGGTGGTTTCCAACCAATGTTCTCTCTCCTGGCTGAACAGTTGGGGGTGTCACAAAACATTCATCCTTGCTTTTTTTTAACTACTAAGTCATAGGGTGTTGATAAACACAGCAGTGTCTGAGAGGGAAGTGAAAGGTCAGTTTGGCAGATGAAACAGAATGGAGGAAAACAAAACCCCAACCGAACCCAGGCCAGGGACGAGGAGGGACTGTCAGTCATATGGAGAAGAGGGGGGGCACCACATACCCAGTGCCAACCACCTGAACTTGCCTCTGCACCAGGTGCACGATGCTCTGGGTGTTCATAAAGAAGACTTCCCGGTCAGATTTCCGCTGCAAAGTGGCTGCGTGGCTGTCCAGAATGCTGGCGATCTTGGAGGGGGGGGAAGAGGGTGGGAGTTTGGAAGGAATAACAGAAATAGAAATAATTTGCCTGAAAAACATCACACCGTCTCTCCCCCCAAGACTTTTCTGAAAATACCCGAAGGCACCCAGTCCTTTGGGGGGGGGGTCACACCACCCTTCGCCCTCACCTGCTGGCTGGGGAACTGGCAGAGCACCGAAGTGATGTTGCTGGCATATTGGGCCATCACTTTCCGGATCGACTTCTCCACCGACGGTGGGATCCGGCCGGAAATGCTCGTCATGATCTCCTGCAGCTCCAGGAGAGGGAGCGAAGGGTCCCGGAGGGTCTTCATCAACTTGCACACCCACTCTTTGAGCTAACACACACACACACACACACACACAAAACAAAATGAGAATAACATTATGCCAGGTACACTCAGGAAATTCATCCCTTAAGCCAGAGACCAAAGCACGGAAATCTGTGACCTCTGATAGGGCAGGAAGATGAAGGCTCCAAGTTCTGGCAGACACCAGTTGGAAATGTGACAGAGAGGACTCCGGGAGCTCAGTGGCCGAGGTCTCAGGCTTTGGAACCAGAGGTTGGGAGTTCAGTTCCCCCCCTGGGCCTCTGAGAGGGGCTGGACTGGAAGACCCAGAGGGTCCCCCTCCTTACCTTGCTGCTGAAATACGGCTCAGGCAAGCAGTAGCCGTTCATGACGTTCACAAGGTTCTCCAGCACATTATGGAAGACCTGGTGCAATTTTTCCCCCAGGATAGGCAGGGGCGGTTGAGACGGGAGCCCTCCCGTGTGCAGCTGGGCCTGGGAGGCGGCAGCGGAAGAAGACGTTTAAAAAAAGAGAGGAGAAAACACAAGTAAGCTTCTCGGCTGTCAAATCTGTTCTGGGAATTATCTAGGAGGCGCTGTGGTGTAAAAACGACAGGGGCGTCGAGGGAGTTCTAATCCTGAAACATAAATTGAAACAACTTCGATGCAAGTAATGTTTCCCAACAACATTTCGGAATGACAAAAAAAAGAAACCTGTCATCTACTGCACAGGGTCCCAGCTCCTGAAGCTCCCCACGAGGAGACTTGAATGCTACAGCCTTTCTTTAGCCCCTCCACCTTAAGGCTCCCCCCAGGTAGGTGACCTCCGGGCGTGGGGGTCACTGACCGCCATCATGACAACCAGCCCCTGACAAAGGCCTGTCTCCCCCCCCCCTTGCTCACCAGGTGGATTTTGGCAGGATTGTCCAGTTCCAGGCGAGCGATGACGCAACCTTTCTCCAGCAATGTGCCGGGCCTTTTCACGTAACGGACGATGCCCGATTCCTCCACCACCAAGGCCACCACCATCTTCATGACCTGCACAAGAGAGGAAGAAGAGCCAATTCAACACAAAAAAGGCCAGGGGTCTCCTGCGGCTCCCTGGTCCCCACCTTGCTCCTTCCCGCGACATGAACGTCGGATGAGGAAGAGAAAAGGGGACATAAAATTGGACATTCATAGAAGCGTGGCTTCCACGCACACTCAAAAGGCAGAGTCGTGGCTCTCGTTCTTATCCCAGACACCCAGGGTAGAGATGAAACGGAGGCGATCTCAAAAACCAGGGCAGAAGGTAGAATAAAATACCTTGCAGGGAGCGGATCTTCATTCAGCCTACCTCGATCTCTGCGTAGCTGTGGCCCACGCAGACGTGTCCCCCGTCGTCCACCGTGTACTGCAGCAGCTTCCCGGCGGAAGGCGAGCGAAGCAAAGTGGGGTCGTTCTCTTTCTCAAAGTCGCAGGTCTTGTTGCCGATGGTGATGCGGTATCTGAAGGCAGAGGAAGAGACACAACGGAAGAACGTCGTTGGAGGAATTCCACTCCCACCCAACCCGCCTTGCAACTCAAGGCCTTCCTCTTTAGGCAGGCTGTGAAGCAGCCGGTGTTCTCAGGGGCGCTCGTTCATGCCTTCACCGATGTCCAGGTGTTTCAAAGCAGCTTTTAAATCTTGGTTTTTAAATCTTAATAGGTGTTCAACTGTTTTGATATTTGTATGGTGTTTCAGCCCTGTTGTCTGTGTTAGTTCTGATTGTTGTGAGCTGTCTTGACAGATAGACAGACTGTCAGACAGATGGACAGGAAGGCACTCATATGTCAGGATAAGGACAGGAAGGCAACGCACGTGGGGTTCGGAGAAACGCAGAGAAAGCAAGACTGAGACGTTGATCGAACCCTTGCTTGCAGGGAGGGGGGGAGCCCTTCGCCTACCGATCAGTTTCTTCCTTCATATACGTGGTGTGACTGGACCCTTGCTTGCGGGAGGAGGGGGGAGCAGCCCTTCACCTACCGATCGGTTTCTTCCTTCATATACGTGGTGTGACTGTTGCCATCGTAGGAGAGCAGAAGCCCGCCGTCGTTCAGCCTGTGGACATCGATCTCGATGTGGCTGTTGTTCATGATGATCACGTAGGTGGTCAAGGACTGACGGGCAACCTGTCCCAAGGCCAGGGAAAATAAACAGGATTGCTTGGCTTTTCAGCCTCCCATCGGAGAGGGACAAAGTGCCCCTAAGTAAAAAGACCCCACAAGCCTACCACCCCGCCCTCCAAATAAATGAGACTCTTTTCCTCTCTTGAGCCATGGCTTAGAAAAGCTTTTATCCCTTTGGGACTTCAAATCTCCGCCTTTTCTCAAACTTGCTAAGAATCATAATCTTCTATATTTCACAACATACAAATCCAGATATCCTTTTGCAAAGCATTACCTTAAGAGCATATTTCACACCTTCGTAAATAAGCTCCACGTCCACAATGTTCCGAAGGGAGGCTGCAGGCAGCACCTGCCCCCTGGAAGACATAGAGATTCCATTTTTAAACATTTTCTTAAAAATTCCCTCCGCCTCCCCTAATTAATATCCATTTGTGTTCAGAGGCAGGACCGAACGCAATGCTCAGACCTGCAAATGAAGCCAGTGCAATCGCCAATCGCAAAGCAAGCTGACTGGCCAGCTACAGGAGGGGCGACAATCAGATGTTTTTCAAAAGGTAAGGAATTTTCTCTTCTAATAACGGCTGATCTGTAACGGCATATCTGTTCTCCCATATGAATCTGGTTCATGCTCAAGATAACCCCTCAGAAACCTTACTCCCTTTTCCACTGTCACAGATCAGACACATTGAGACGCAACACATGGATTTTAAGGTTGTTGTTTAGTCGTTTAGTCGTGTCCGACTCTTCGTGACCCCATGGACCAGAGCACGGCAGGCCCTCCTGTCGTCCACTGCCTCCCAGAGTTGGGTCAAATTCATGTTGGTCGCTTCGATGACCCTGTCCAGCCATCTCGTCCTCTGTCGTCCCCTTCTCCTCTTGCCTTCACACTTTCCCAATGTCAGGATCTTTTCCAGGGAGATTTCTCATGAGATGGTCAAAGTATTGGATTTTAAGGTAGCAGCACCAAAACGCTGGAATATTCTCCGCACAGGTTCTGCGCTGTGTTTTTAGATATCTGCTAAAGACTCACTAAAACTATTCATCAAGCCCTAAGTGTCTGACGGACTGGCAGCATCCAAGGGATACTTCTGGGCAGCTGCTCACCTTTCCAGTGCGTGGAGAAAGTCATCCATGCATGTCCTGAACAAGGCATCCGCCACGTTGAGGGCACCGCAGACCACGCCAAGCATGGTGTCCGGCTTCTCTGCCTGCACAGGAAGCAGGAAAGTGTCACATTGAGGGATTATCCACATCAGGTGAATCTAGCTATTTAAGTCACTAGAGTTCTGACCCCATTTATTTCTGTGCCCGTATAGATGGGTGCCATCCACTGAGTCTCCTCCAGCCTTTTTCTGTCTCTTTCCTTCTCTCTTTCGACGACACAGATTTGAACCCTCACGTCAATGATCGCATTTGCCACATTTGCCCAAGAAGGCAGTAAGAAGAGGCAATATTTTCCCACCACTTTCGCTATGCCTCAAGCATCTCACGGAAGTGCTGAGATAACACATATCCGGGCTGTATTTTGGTGGCGAAGACGGTTCCCAGGGAGGTGTGTGACTTTTGTAGAGGCACTCTGCTATGGACGGCTGCTTTTAGAAATGGGGAGGGCTCACAAGGCACGGGCGCAAATAACTGCCATGCTCAACCCAAAAAAAACCCTGTCCGGGAGATAGATCTCTCACCTGCACTTTTTCAGCGATCAAGTGATCCAGCCAGCTGGTGTCAATTTCATTGGTCTGGAAGCTCTCAGTCTCCAGCAGTTTGACCAGGTATTCGACCGTCGTCCGGAAGTCTCCGCGGATGGAGAGCTCCTTCAGAGCGACCACCAAGTTTCTGAAAGAAGCAGGCCAAGCTATTAAGGCACAGAACTGCCTGATGTGTGTGTGTATATAAAACCAATTTTTAAAAAAGGTAGATTTCCCCCATCACCCATAATCTGCCCGCCCCACCCCAATCCCTTTTAAGCCGCTACGGGCGAAGGGCAGGCACCCCCAAGGGCTGTGAAATGGTGGCAAGGGTGGCGTTGCATGGTTTGGTGCTGTGTCTGGGAGTCAGCCAGATCTCTGCCCGCTGGACAGGCAGGCCTGAGACCCTGCAGTAACCCCTACACCGTGGAAGCCTTTTCACTACCCATGAGGACCCAGACTCGAGACAGTACTGACGAGATCGCCTCTTCTCGGTTCTCCCCCCAGGAGAAACAGTGGCCAAACTGGGAATCGGCAAACTCGTGCAAGCCGCCGGTGGCCGCGACGCTGAAGTAACCCCAAACGTTCTTGTTGCTACGGAAATTCAGCTCTTGCACTGTGCCAGAACTGGGCTTGAAACCCTGGAAGGCAAGAAGACAAGGATGGAGAACGGAAGGATCCAGGGAGGGATGGAGAGGGACGGTTCAGCTAAGGCGTCTGATGCTTTAAAGCCACAAAAACAGACAAGTTCACTCAAACGGGTGCCTTGCCTCACCTTACAGGACACCCCAACAACGAGGACCCAAGCTGTGTTTTGAGAGCTCAGAAAAGTTACTTTTGGGGGCCACAGCGCCCAGAGCCACCCCAATGGGGGGTTTATTTTCACCCTGACCTTAACTTCTTCTGTCCTCTGTCTGCTCCCTCTCGCCTCCTTTACAGTTGAACAATGAATTAAGTTCGTTAAAAGTCACAGGACACACCTCGTCAGGGTTTTCGCTGGTGATCCGCGCAGCCATCACGTGGCCCCTGGGCACCGGCACTTTGCTGGGGTTCTCAAAAGAGATGGGGGTGTCTCCCCAGGGGGGCTCTCCGTAGAGGGCGCGGATGTCCTTGATCCTGTGCAGCGGGACCCCCATAGCAATCTGCAGGGACCGAAAACAAGAGAGACAAAAACAAAACAGGGACGACTCAGCAGGTTTTACTGATGCCTTCAAACATCAAAAAAAAAAAAACACGTTCTAATCCAAACTGTCTTTTGGGAGGGAAAACCTTCCCTCCGACGGCCAAACTGCCAAGATCTTAACCTGGGTTGAAAGACAACAGACAGGCAATGCAAGCACAGGCTCCCTTCAATCCACCGTCTTCTGTCCCTCGTGCAAAGCCCCCCAGCAGTCCACAAGGCTTAGAAAAGTTCCCTTCCTTTCAGTCATGCCTGCGGGGGGGGGGGATTCTGGGAACGGCAGTATTTCACTTTGCCAAGCTTTGGAGCCCAGGTGGGGCCACTTGGCACCTTCCAAATAACGGTGGGACTCCGGCTCCCGTTAGCCAGTGGCCTAGATGGAGAGGGACGATGGGACAGGCAATCTACCCCTATTTGGAGGGCTGCGGTTGCGGAGTCCAGCCCCAGACAGACAAAGGTGAGCTGAGGGAGATTTCACAGACCTGCAGCTGGGCAGCAGGGAGGTTGACGTCGGCAATCATTTCCGTGCAGGGGTGCTCCACCTGCAGCCGGGGATTCAGCTCCAGGAAATGGAAGCTCCCGTCTTCGCTGTAGAGGTACTCCACCGTTCCTGCGCTGACGTAGCCCACCATTTTGGCCAGTCGTACAGCACACTGGGGAGAGAAGAGGCCAGAGAAAGCATCTATACAAGCACCCAACGCTTCAGGGCAGCTACAGAAAAATAACTCCTCCAGGGGAGTGGCCGGTTACGTGTTTGCGGGTCCCTCGATCCGCATCATCCTCTGCCACCCATCCCCTGGCGTACCTGCTCCATGTACTCAAAGACAGCCAGCGGGGCCACCGTGGCAGGGGCCTCTTCGATGATCTTCTGGTGCCTCCGCTGGATGGAGCAGTCCCGGCTGAACAACGAAACCGCGTTCCCGTACTGATCAGCCAAGACCTGGACTTCCAGGTGGCGCGCGTGGTGTAAGAACTTCATCACAAAGACCGGGGATCCGGGAGCCTCGCTTTGAACCTGTCGAGAGGAAAGGAAATGGCGCCGAGCAAGCACCGGGAAGGCGTGACACAAAAATATCTAAAGCCAGCTCTTTTCCCAAATGATGCTGGAATTGACAGCGTTTGGTGTTCTTTTCCAATTTAATCCCATTTCTTCTAATAGGTCAACGCAAGAGCAAAAAAACATTCCTGTCCCCAGGATGGCTGTGGAATTCTGGAAATTGGAGGCCAGACCAAGCTTGGCATATTAGTTGACTTCTGTTAATGATTTATGCACTTCCAAGGGCTGATTCCAGGCAGAACAACATAGGAAGTGACTTTTGGTGGGGTGTTTTTTAGTGTTGTTCATTTTTTTTCAACACATCACTTACATTTTTTTCTGAACACATTACACACCACCAAAAGGTCTGAGGGCTGCAAGAGGTTATAAGAGAAGGGAGACCTTTCGCTTCAGCATTAATTCCCATATTCGGATAGTGTGGGTGGCATATAAGTTAAATAAATAAATAAATAAATAAATATTCTCAGGCAGTCAAGAGTATTCTGCAATTCCTCATTGTGAGATTTATGCAGACGCCGGGGAAAATCGTCATTATTTTTACTGCAACTTGGTCTGAAGGCTGGGAGTGAGCAAAAGAGGCCATCAAAAGTGCATTTCATGAGGTTTTTGTCTCAAAATGGTGTTCCTTCATCCACCAAATTTTACGAGGGCTGCCGGACAATATTTTCCACCTTTAGTCACCCACCCACCAATGCCCTGCTGCTTCTTGCACCGTTTTAATCTCCACTAAAAAAAAAATCATAAAGAGGGGAAAGGTGGAAGATCCTTTTTAATGGGTTCCCCTCAAAATCCTTTAATTTGCACAAGGTGGAGAGACTTTAAAAAGGCAGGAAAGTCACTACAAGGGCAGAAATCCCCCCTGGTGTTTTAATTTACTTGTCTGAAGCGAGCCGGGAACTCTTCCGCCCCTTCGGCGATCCGGATCCCCTTGCCGCCACCGCCTTCTGAGGCCTTGATCATCACTGGGTAGCCAATACTTTGTGAAACCTAAGGTGACAAAGGAAGAATCCAAAGAGGGAGCATTTGCAAATATGTAGCCCCTGGATGAAGGTGAGGAACTGCTCCCCTTCAAAGACTAGGCCAGTGTTTTCTCAACTAAGGGGGGGCACCCTCTGGTTCTCCCCTTGCAAAATGGCCATGGTTTCTCCTCCATAAAATGTGCCAGCTCTCCAGGATTTGTGAAGAAGCCCTGCCATGCTTCCCTCCCTGTCATTGATCATCCTTTCTCAAAAACGCTGCCACCTGCATTCTTGTGTACATGCGTAGACATACAAGAGTTTGACACTGCATTCTTCATTGATCATCCTTTCTCAAAAACGCCGCCACCTGCATTCTTGTGTACAGGCATAGTAGACATACAAGAGTTTGACACTGCATTCATTGCTTTTGCTCCATCCCAACGAATCCATCCTACACATCACTAAGGATCCAAATCATGCTATATGTTCGTAGCACAGACATCTGCCACGCGGGTAAAGTGCCAAGGATTTGCCTACCTCCAGACCTTCCTCCACATCCTTCACGCAACCTCGCCAGTAAGTCTCCAGAGGGACCGTAATGGTTCTGCACTGCTCACTCTCCTCTTGAGTCCACTCAGCCACCAGGCCTAGAAAAAACATTCCCACCAGAACTCATTGGAGATCCAGCCCATCTCATGGGAAAGACACAGAAACCTTAATTAAGTGTCCGGTGTCACTGTGTCTCTCGAATCACTGACCCACCAGGCTCGGTTTCTGTCTCTACCAAGTCTGATGCCAGGATCGAGGAAAGCCAACCCAAGGTGGGTCTCCTCCGTTAAAACCTCCTACCTCCGTAGGTAGGCAGAAGACAGGGAGCGCTCTCTTACCACTTCCACTCCACGGCAACGTCGGGATATGGACGGTCTGAGCCACGATGGTGGAAGCCACTTTGTCCCCCAAGGCCCACATGGCCTCACTGGGCGGGCCTGGCAAACACAGGTGGAAAGGGGTGGGTGTAGGGATTCACCAGGCAGCAAGGGAGAGCAGGAGCTAAAAAGAAAACTATTTCCCAAACACTACTTGGGTGAGGGGGAGGAAACAGGGCAGTTCGTTCGGAGTTGGGGAACGGGACTCTTCCAGACTACAAAGCACATGTTCTATAGCTGCAGAATTCTGGGAACTGTAGTCCAAAAACCTAATTTCGCCAAGCTCGGCGTCACGGGCTCTGCCTCCTCCCTCCGCAAGAACTAGGGGCGATGGGTCCATGAATACAGGCGGAGATGGGTCAAGAGTCCCTTCCTACCTGGGACTCTGAAAACTGACCTGGACACACATCGTTCAAAGAGTGTGCGGCACCACCTACCAAGGAACGCTATCCCGTTTTTGTCCAGAAGTTCTGGAAGTTTAGGGTTCTCAGACGCGTGTCCCCAGCCAGCCCATACAGCCTAGAACAAAAAGGGTGTCAAGGGTGCTAAAGACAAGAATTAATGGTGGCGGCAAATTCCACTAGCCCAAAATCCCAACGAGACCTCTTAATATTCAAACATTTTGCTTCCAGATCCTTTTTAAAAAATCTGCCGATGTTTCTACATTAACCCCTTCAATAATTTTTGCAAACAGCGATCCGAGAGCATCAGAAGACTTTTCAGAAATTATTTGCTCACAGGGAGTGACCTCATATTCCATAAAACGCAACATTTTATGGGCTCCTTCCGTCCTGCTTCCGGGTCAACAAACCTCCGGAAGACCAAAGGGAGGAAAGCTCAGAGACACAACGCCACGGAGGTTTCTTACCTGCACCGGAATCCGTTTTGAAATATCCACAATTAACTCTACGTTGGCATAATTGTTATTATTGGTTCCTCCGGGGACAGGAACATACTGGTCGGCCATCTTGATGTATTCTGAAACATTTTAAAGGCAGGCGTCAAGAGGAGGGCCTGGACGCACACCTCCGTACACCAAAGGGCGGCCTCGGGACTCACCTGCGTTGGCTTTCAGGTCTTCCGGAGTCACCATCACCACGAACCTGATGGCTCGCTCATTGCGGAACATTTCGTAGGCCCACCTGCGGATGGAGCGCATGCACTTCACCGCTGCGATGCCGTTGTTGGCAATTAACACCTAGGTGGAGAAGAAGGAGAGGACCAGCAGGAGGAGGCTTCTTTAAATGTTATTTAAGAATCAATAGGTTAGGATAATTTGCAGCCGGCAGAATGGAAAATAATAAACACCATTCCCAAAACAATGTCCAAAGGGCAATTGCTAAATCTCCAGGGAACAGAAAGGACTTGTCCGGTCTTTGGTGGATGACATACATAATCCAAACAATGGCATATGTTGGTGCCGAGCTTTACACCAAACAACGAGTATGTGTATTTAATGACATACATGGAGCAAAACGGGCTCCAAAAATGCCATTTGAGCTGCAGCAGAAGCCAAAGTGAAGACACGCGGTGAGATCTTCCTCCCTGGAGGACACAGTACCTTTTCAATAACACGGTTCCCTCCGAAACGAGTCACGAATTCGGCCGGCGAGGCCACCGTGAAGTCCCTGTGGAGATCCAGTTTTCTCTGCTCACGGCCTTTTTTGACCAGGTGGAGCCCCGACATGCTGGGCCTGAAAGGAGATAAGCCCATGTGACTTTGACCGCTCAGAATCAAGGAGAATCAGCGAGCCTAGTGGTTGGATGAAAGCGGAAGGAGGCAGAGAGGTGAACTCTTGCTTATCTCCTCCTCGTACCTTGGGGATGAGAAGGTCAAGCTACCGGTGGCATTCTCCCCAAGAAAGGAGAAACGAGAGCGGCTCCGGATACCAATTAAGCAAAATCAGTTTAATGAACCCCGGGTTCACTTTTAACCTAAATTGGTGGGAAAGGCTGGGGGCTGACCGCCTTATTGTCAGATCTGAAGTTTCATGTCTCAACATGAGAAACCGTGGCCTTCACAAGGGCGACGCAAACAACCAGATCTTTCCGAGAAAGAAGGCTCCTCGTTAAAATAACTGGTTGTTCCTTTGTAACTTAACAGCCCTGGAGGCCAGCCAACAGCAAGCACACAATCCCATTGTGTTTTAATATTATGAAGTTTTCAACTGTGTTTTCATACTCACACAGGTGTGTTTATCTGTAACTTTTCTTTTAGGTAAAGGGTGACCCACAAGGCCTATTCGTTTTCACGTTCCAGCCTCGATCGGGATAAAACCGGGTTTATTCTTCTGCATCCAAGTTTTTAGAAATGTAGGTTAGTTGAAAACATAAGAGCCCACTAGCTTGTAAACTGTTCCCGCCAGCATCCTAACATTTTGCCCTCACCTGGGGATTATGGTTTGGGTAGTTCCACATGCGGATTAAACCTGCCAGATTTTAGGGCAATGCATCGGCACATCAAAGTAGGAGCAGCCTTGATTCAAACCTGCAGTTTGAGCATCTCATGCAGATGGCAAACAGGCTTTGGACTGGGTGGAAGGGAGGTTACACACACTATAGGTTGGCTGTTCTCTCCTGTGAAGCCCCAGAATCCATATTTCCCTATGGGTCAGTTTGCAACAGAGAAAATATAAAGGCAGGCCACAATCCTAAAAAAGTACCGTTGTTTTAAAATCGTTCCAGTTAACCCATGTGACACACGAAGCAACAAACACAGGTACAGTAGATGCGAAGAAAGACACAAAAACTGACAACTGGAATAAATAAATGATAGCAAATCAGTTCCTGCCTGCACCCCCGCTATAAATAATTAGGTTGTTTAAAAAAAGAGAGAGAACAACTAATATTTTGATAGAAACTGGTGGAGAAGCAGAATCTTATCCCTCCCAAAGAACAGCAATCTAAATCCCTGTAAGGCTGAGTGCAAAAGTTTTTAGTTTTCCTTCCTAGCAAGCTGAGAAAAAAGCATGGATGGGATCAAGTAACCCAAGGTTAAAGGGGGGGGAGAGAGAGAGAGAGAGAGAGATGGGTGACGTCATATGAACAATGTGGAATTTGTTTCGAAAAATAATCTCCTCCTATTTAGACGACTTCCCCAAAACTAGTCCTTAAGAGATGAGCAAGTCAAAATTCCCAAGACAGTTTGCAAAAGAAGGCAGCAGGGAGAGAGAGGACTTCCTTGTTTCTGTTTGTAAACCACACGCACTAACTAAAAGACTGCAACAACAACAACAACAACAACAAACCTTACATAGGCTGGAAGATCTCCCCAAAAGATGCTCTTTTCGGCATGCACGCCGCACGCATTTCTGTTACGGTCCACAACGATTCAGATTTCGCCTGCCCTTAAGGTGCCCATGCAGGGGGTTCCAGGGTTCTGGCGCCCGCCCAGAGGGTGACCCAAAAGCACCCATTCCACTCCTTAACCGTGCACAGAAAACGAGTCCTTGGCTGCCAGATGCACCTCTGCCAGTCTCTCTTTTTCTGCCTTCTAGACCAAGAGCTTGGGGGGGGACTCCACCAAAGTCCCTTCCCCTTGCGCCGCTTTGGGGAAAAAAGGAGGTCCCCAAACAAGGCCAGGGAACCTCTGCCTAAAGCTGAGCTGGAGCCCACCAGGCTGAGCCGCTGTGCAAGCAGAAGGAGAGAAAGAAGCAGCCCCACTGAAACCAAGGCACCCTTTCTTCCTCCTGGGACAGGACCCTTCCGACCTCCTTCAAAGCTTTCGGTCCAGTCCCGTCCCCGTCCCCCGGCCATCCAGCACTGACCTCCAAAGGGACTGGAACCAGTTCAGCTCCGTTCCCCCTGCCTCTTCCCCCATCCTGCCCAGATGCCGGCAGTTGGCGGCTGCTGCTTCCTCTTCGTCCTCCTCCTCCTCCTCGGCTTCTTCCTCCAGTCCGGTGCCTCTCCGTTCTTCTCCGGGCCTTTGCTGCACTTCCCCTTCCCCTTCCCCTTGGGCATGCGGCCAGCAGGGCTGAAAACAATCCGGCACTACCTCCACCAGCACCACCGCGTGGCCCAGGAGAAATTTTGAAAACACAAAGCAAAAACGCCCTCTGTGCCCTTACACAACCTTGGGACTGACTGCGCACTCACTCACACACACACACACACAATACAACCTTGGGACTGACTGCACACAGAGAGAGAGAGAGAGAGAGAGAGAGAGCAGAAGCTCCTGCGAAAATTGAAAAAAATGACAATTTCTAGAATCCAGGAACTGTCCAGAAAAGTAATTCTCCCCCCCCTAAAAAAAATGCTCTAGGAAAAGGAGGAATATATATATTAAGCCCTTTACATGCAACGTTAAAAGAAAGATCTCTTTGCTGTCCATAGACTCACAGAACTGCACGCCGGAAGGGGTCCCACAGGGTCATCTAGTCCAACCCTCAATTTAGAAAGCAAAATGCTGTATTTTATATATAAAAACAAAGAGGTTTTGGGGGGGCACTCTACAGACTTAAGAGGTTTTATTTGCCTTCCGCTTTCCTGGACTGCCTTTGAGGAAGTGGGGGTGCAACCCTTGAATATTTCTGCTCAACAAAAGCATGTTTTTAGCCTCCAGTTGTGCCCCCCGAAAGGTTTTCTTGTTCCTGCTTCGAAACTGGAGATCCCGGGGAATTATGGACCTCGTAGTCCAAGGAAATAACATTTCCAAGCTGCTGCCTTTGTTGCCCCTGGATCGTCAAAGGCCTGGGAGAAAATCAAAACCACCTAAACCTTTGTGGGGGGAAAAAATGCCTGCATGCCTTGTTCCCTGCAAAAGCTCTTTTTTCCTGTTTATAATTTACCCAAAGCAAAGATGCGATAATAAAAGCAATCAGAAATGGGTGACTTAAGCAGACTTAAAAGAGCCCAGAAGGTGACTGGAGCCATTGAGGTTCAGTTATCAGCGGATTAAGAAACTGGGTCAGGCCCCACCTTGTTTTCTGGGACGCTGATAACCAAGGGCGATCTTTAGCAACGGCTCGGAGGTGGGTTCCTGGAAGGACAGGAGCTGGTGCCGCCCTTTGCTTTTCATTTCAAAAAAGTGTGGCCGTTTTTGTGTGTTTTTTTTTCACTTTCGCCATGCACAGCTTCGGAAAGATATCTATTCCATCACACGAAGGAAATGCCGCTACGAAGAAAATGCGTAAGACGGGGAATAAAACCATCGGCCATTTGCACAAATTGTTCCTTATTTCAGGAATCGGAGGCCCCTCGTAAGCCTCCTTCCTCATATTTCCATAAACGTATTTTGAAGCCCCTGAAATTTCAACCGGGGACAGCCACGTAGTTAGGGGATTTTGGGATTTGTAGTCAGTTTTCCCAAGAGGCCCAGTAAGTAACTAAAGCCGTTAACCAGCTCCCTAGAATTTGGCAGAGAAGATGCCAGAGGGAGTCTTCTTTCTAAGAAGCCGGTTCTATAATTAGGCCGGCTTTAAAAAAAGAAAAAGAAAAAAAGGCCCGCTCGGCACCCGCTGCTGCCACCCACCTCGGCTGGGTAGGCAGTCGGTTCCTCTCTGCAAAATGCGAGGTGAACTTTGCTCTTGCAAACGGCAACCCGGCAGAAAAAGTCTTGGGCTCCCTTTTCGACAGAGGGCCGGCCGGCCGGCCACGGAGAATCCACCCCACCCCACCCCAATCAAGGTCCCGGGCCTTCACTTATCAAAGAGAGGCAGATGACAAGGAACAGAACCCAAGAAGGAGGCGCGAACAACGCAATTTAATATTTTTCCCTACACCAAAAAAGAATATATATGGCTGGATGGGGGATTCTGGGAGTTGTAGTCAACGCCAGGATCTTTCCAAGCTCCGCTTGTAAGAACCGTACTTTATGGCGCCTTCAAAATGCAACAGATTTCGGTTCATGGGAACTTCCTGTGGTTTCCTAGAAAAGTCCACCCATCCCATTTCCTCCTGCAAGGACCATAATCCACAGGCATTCAAGACCAATAAGCCTTAAAGACGCTTACAAGATATGGGTTCTTTTGCTGAAACTGACGAGTCAGGCTCTCTGATGTGTAAATTTCACAGTCCCTGTTTGTTTTTAAAGACCGTGTTGACGCAGGGCCTTGATTATTATTGTTTTAAGTATCTTCTTTTTGGAAGTATTTACACAATATTATCTTGTTTACGCCTTACTGCTTTGACTAGCTTTTTGGTACTACTTGCGTTTTCCAGTTTTGTATTTTCCATTTCTCAACTCTTGTTTACGCCTTACTGCTTTGACTGGCTTTTTGCTACTACTTGCATTTTCCAGTTTTGTATTTTCCATTTCTCAAAGTGTTTTTTTTAATTATATACTTATTGTTCTTAGCTTTAATGGCGCCCACGTGCGATGCCTCTTCACTCCCTGTTCTTAGCTTTAATGGCGCCCACGTGTGATGCCTCTTCACTCCTTGTTCTTAGGTTTAAAGTATCTTTTAAGGGTGTTCATCACCACCCTTGTACACTCATCGTTTTCAACATCAAATATTGTCTTTCAGTGTTGCAAGGGGCCTTGGGACCTTTTCAAGGAGAAAGGCAGGGTAAAAAATATTGCTAAATAAATACATTTTGATTTCTGTCAGAGGTTTGCCTTCTGTTTTTTATGGCTGCTTTGCTCATTTCCCTGCCAAGTTAACAGATGAAAAGGAGAACTAAAAATAGGGAACACAAAGGAGAAGGTGACTGGGCGTTCATGAGACATTGAGGAACAAAATAAGAACAAAAAAAGGTATTTTTTTAAGGCTGGAAGGGCTTCATTAAAGCCACTCTTCCTCATTCCACAGAATGGAGCCACGGAGGTTAAAAACGTGGGATCAGACTGCCACAGCAGCGTCCTCTGAAATTACTTGCAAATCTGGGGAAACCGGGTGGGTGAGTAGAGAGCAGTTATTTCAGAAGAAATATGACGATTGCAAAAGAGATTTATTCAACTATTCGTGGCCCGGAGAAAATAGATTTTATCTTCTGTTCTGACATTCATCTTCTGTTAAACTGATGAACGGATGCATAGTCACAAAAATCTCAGCGTCTTGTCTCCTTTTTGGACTTCCTCACAGCGTCTGGCCACCTTCTCCACCCCTCTGCCCAATTTGAAAACCCAAGAGCCGTCGGCAAATAAACAGACCAATATTTAATCAGTGCAAGGTGGAAGCTTAAAAGCAGAAAAATGCAGACGCTAGAAGTTAAAACACATGCACCCAGAGAGGAAGACGCAATGCATAGCAGAAACATATTCACTAGGACTCAAAAAGCCTGAGGTGGGATCCGTGCTTAGCAGCAGAAACTCATGGAGGGAGGGGGTCTGTTGTTAAAATCCACATATCAAAAAATCTATAAGGGTCACCATAAATTGGAAGTAACTTGATGGCACAAAGCAACAACCGCTAAACACAACTTTATTCTGGAGCCACGGCAATGTAGCAGATTGAGGGCTGGACTAGAACTCGGGAGACCTGGATTCAAATCCCAGCTTGGTCACAGAAATTCAACGGGGAGGAGAGACGACGGCACACCCCTCCTTCGACATCTCAAGAACCTCAGCGCAGGCAACAACAACATCTAACACAGACGTCCACGCCACGCAGATTTCTAACCGAAGCCACCCAACATTCGTCCAAACGAGGACATGTTAATCAAGAAGGAAAAGTAACAACGAGATGGTGCTTTCCAAGCCCCAAAGCAACCCAAAACATCCACTTCCTCAGCCACAAGACAGGACCCGGTTTTACATTATTATTTTTTTGTCACATCACAACCTCCCAGCAGTCGCATTGGCCAGGGGATTTTGGGAACTGTATCCCAAGAAAGCGACTTTTTTCTAAGCTCTAAGGGTTTGTTTGGGTTTTTTGGGGGGTGGGGTTGTCCCATCAGCTTCACGTACATTTAAACTGGAGGTGATTCAAACTGGGGACCTCTTGTGTATGGTGCACATACTTGGCTACTCAGCAAAAGAAAAAAAACCCTTTTTATGCCAAGCATACAATGAAGCTCAAGGTTTATTATTATTATTACTGTATTATCCTCCACTAGAAGTACACTGGGGATTGGCTGGCTAAGCTTCTTTGCATTAACAGCACAGCTAAGGAAACAGCAAAGGCTTTCTCCATCCCCTACCCACCTGCACAGAGCTTAGAAAAGTTACTTTTGGGGGGCACTACAACTCCCAGAATCCCCCCCCATCTTTCCAGCCCAATGCTCTCAGTTCTGTGGCTTACTTCATGGTGACCTTGGTCTCCGACAGGGAGGCGAGCGATGACGAATCCACCGAAGAGGAGGAGGAACCGAGGCTGGCCAAGCTGCTCCTTCTCCGGCCGGCCAGCCGGAGGGACCCGGCCATAAACTCGTCGTCCGAAGAGTCTTCGAAAGAGCCCAGCACAAACTTGGCCATACCCTGGCGTTTGGCTTGGGCCGGGCTGGCTTCCGGCTCTTCCCATGAATGGGACCTCATCTGCCAGAGCCGCTGGCTGGACAGAGGGCCAGCGGCCCGGCTCAAAGCCCTGGCTGCCTCGTTGGGGGCCGCGGCCTGGGGCTGCAGCCCATCCGAGGAAGAACGGGGAAACGGGGGTTTGTTCTGGCAAGCGGGGTGCTCTGGCTGTTTAGGGCCATTCGGGCACCTCAAGTCGCTCGGAGCGGGCGGGGGAGAGGGGTCCTGGCTGGCCTCCGCTGACGAGGACTGCATTCCTGCCGTCTCTGAAAGCAGGGAAGGGGATCCGTTGGAAAGCAGCCCCTGGGATCCAGAAGCAGCCCCTTCACAGGGGGTGGGATCATCAAGCTGAGGTCCGTGAGAGTCTGCGGAGGGATCTTCTGCCATCCTGGTCCAAACCAACCATGCCAGAAGGATCAAGAATAAGGAAGCTATCAAAACCATCCGGAAAGCCTAGAAAAAGAGAACAGGGCCAAGTCGGTCACTTTATGATTTATTTATTCTTTGCCACATTTATTCATGCTTTTCCTTCCGTGTGTCCAAAGGACATTCCCCTGGCTTGACAAAAAAAATGCTCTTCATAGAATTACCTTCAAAGCCACACAGGCACAGCCCCCCTTGCAGGCTTTGGCATGGAAAATAGCCGGCACTTATTTATTAATCCTGCCTAGGACAATTGCCTCCAACTTACCCGAAGCCTGACTTACTGCTTTGGTCCTCCTTCTGCCCTGAAGGCAGAGCAAAAAAGGGGCTCCAGAAACACAAGCTATTTTTATTCTATGAAAACAGCACCTTGGCAACTGGGAGGCTGGACAGGCAGACAGCAAGCCAGCCGGCTGCCCGTCTCAACAGATATCTAGAATCCCAAAGCTCATGGCCTGAATGTGAGATGATTCCCCCACCCTGCCCCTCCCTTCCTCTTGCATCAATCTTCTGGAAATCCAAAAGGGACTCTCTCCACTTGCAGCCAAAATAAAATGGAACCACCATCACCGTTTGGCAGAGTTTGTTTTGGAAGGGGAAACGGTGTCCATGCTGGTTGGGGAAATATGTCACCTCCAAATAATAATCCCAAGAGGCCCCCTCTAAGCTCGGACAACGGCAATCTTTTTAACGCATGTGGCAACGAAGGGAAAAGTTTTCTTTTTGGACAAGAATTCCCCAGATTGTACATGCAACAGAGGTCAGCATCTGCTTCTGGCTTGTGTCTGACTAGCTCCTCTGTCTTGGGGTTGCTCAGGGCCCTTGGTCAAGTCCCTTAAAACTTTGCAGAGAAAGAAGGAAGTCTCCAGGGCATCTTATTAAAGACAACTCAAGGGTTCTTTGGATTCCAGACTGAATACTTTATTCCACTTTTCTTGGAGTTAAAATTCAGATACTTTACAGACTTTTAAAAAAACCTTACAGTCCCCAGAAATAAGTTTTCCAAGTACTGGGTGCTCTTATTTTTCCTCCTGTCCTGTTCATAGGGTACTCGCATTAAGGGCATCTAGTTTGCCTCTGTGGGAACACAAGGATGGAGAGCAGAGCGCGGCTGTGATATTCTTCCTAAAGATTGGGAAAAATACCTTAAAGATCTGAAGAGGAAGAAGGAAGGAACCAAATTGGGGAGGGGGGGGAGAGTGACCTTTTCAAGTGTCAAAAGTGTTATTTATTGAGCCCCAAGCATCTCAAACACAAATCATTCTGCAGAGGTACTATGCAAGATTAAAACAGCTTTTTTTTCAATTTAATTACTTTCATTCATGTTTTCCACCCAACAGCAACAGATATCAGGGTGAGATCCAGGCAATAAAATGGCATTCAACCCTTTACACGAATGTATAACCGTTGAAGTCCATTTAAACAAAGCAAAACAGATTGATACAAAACAGGGCGGGTTGATATCTCTGTATACCCTTCAGTTTTTGCCATCCAACTTAGTAGCAAAAAAAGAGGACAATTTATGGACCAGCACAAAGGTTGCGGGTGGCTCTTATAGCTCCACTGCCATGCAGAAACTGCAAACAGACACTTACATGAAATTTACAGCTTGTGTCACGTGAGGCTTCATGGTGCCTCCAGACTCCTGATGTTTTTCTGTTAGGTTGCTGTCGCCCTGACCCGTCTTCTTTCCTCCTCTCCTCCCAATTAAACTTCAGACTGCAGCTTCCTTGGGGCAGAGAGAGAGTGAGTTACTTTTTCTTCACATCCTGGCTAAATGAAACATAAGCATAAACAAACTGATCAGAACCCTTACAGCCTTTTTTTTCCTTTTAACTTACCAGCAGTTTTTTTGGCAGTAAAGATATTCCCATTTGGGCTCAGCGTCTGGTCTGTATAAGCTTCATACTACCCACGACACTTCCAAAGCTGGGCAAAAACAGCTCCAGTTTGCTGAATGCCAGAGAGAGAGAGAGAGGGGACTTAGTAGCTTTTCTGGCATGGAACATAAACTTTAGATAAACTTTGTTCTGCTCGGCCAAAAAAAGAAAACGGGGTGGGGAGAAGTCTTTATTTGCATATTCACATCAGCAATGCTGATGTGGAAAATCAACAGTTCAGTCCTAGAAAGCACTGCCACACAACTGTTTATTTATATTTACATTCATATGTATATATATGCACACACACATACACACACAAAGTTTTTGTTACCAGAAGCGTGCACGCTGTGTCATAAAAGCAGAAGTTGCAACTGATTTTTTTGGAAGTCTGTGAAGCCTACGGGCAGGTCACCGGAGCTGGGAGAACAGACAACAATCTGAAGCATGTGCAAACATCTATGGTTTAAGGTTCTAACACATGGTCACAAACGCTCTCTCGGCAGGAAACAGCTTTTAGAAATCCTCAGCTTTCCCAGTTTAAAGAAAGGAGTTGCAAATTACGTATGTACTGTATGGTTCCATTCACACACTGGCATTTCAGAAGATACAGAGGCTACTGAATAAGAGCAACTTTAGCTGTTTCCATGTGAAGGAAGAAAAGCCAGTCTGTGGATTTTGCAATAAAGGGTAATAACTAATAACACCTCAGGGATTCCCTAACTCACTGCAGACATTTAAGGGAATTTTAACTTTGGAAAGCGGCTTCCTTCTTGTTCCATATTTCACACGGGTATTCCTGAAGACCCCAGCCATCTTTTCTGGGAGAGAGGAAAATTTGCACAAAGCAACAGCCGGGCTTTGTGGCAAGGCTCCAGAGCACCGGGGTGCTGCGTTCCAAGTAGGGCAAATGTTTGCTTTTGGTGGAGGGGGGCGGGCAAGGTCACTCTCCTCTCCCAAATCAGACTCCTGTTGTGAACAACTTGTACGGCCTCCCAAATGTCACCAAATGCCAGACAGCTTTAAAAGTTGCATCAACCACATGAACAAACTCACAAAGACAGGCCGGCTGCCAGAAGAGATCTCAATAAATAGCCCCTAAGCAGAGCGGCCTTCCAAAGATAAACAAGGAAAGATTGCAAATATATTTTCTGTCCAGCAAATGCTCTTTCCAATCTGTTTACGTCCTCGAACCTATTCTTATCTCTTATCACTCAGAGAGTAATTCAAAAATGAGAAGAAGAAAAAACAATAAATTTTCCAAATTGATATTTTAAGGTTCCATAGGCCTCCTCTCTTTTTCCACAGGAAAAGTGTCAACACAATACGTTGGCAGAGCGAGGAAATTATATCCAAGCCATTATGAGCAAGCCTGAAGGCAGAAAATGCTGATGAATAGGGTTAAAAAAAAACACCAGTCGGAAAAAACAACAAAAGACAATCCAATCAAAGTTGCTGATTGCTAGAAGCAGGGAAGTGTTGGAGAAGGGAGAGAAATACCTGCCCCGAAATGTCCACGGAAATGCTGAGTGCAAAATGCTGCTTCTCACTTTTTACAAGGGGGCGGAGGAAGGGGTGGGGAGAACAGCAGCTGCATCGCAGACCTTTCCTCGGCAGAAGCGGTGGAACAAGGAAGGTGGTGGGGAGGGAGAGATGGCTTCCTTCCTAGTTTAAAGGTTGGGGCAGGGCAACTTAAAACAGCCGGCAAGAGAGAGGAACCTGATGGGTATTCTTAGAGGGCTGCAGCCTTTCCATGAACTTTCTGGATTCCGCAGATAAGGGGCAAAACTTAAAATTTCCCATACCACTCCTTGTTGCCCAGAAGTGTCTCCTGACTCCTTTCCTTCCACCTGGACCTTTTAACTTATTTCCATATTTATTATTGAACATGTAGCCTGTTTTGTGCCCAGGATTCAAGATTAGAAACAGGCAGATTTTTAAAAAAATAAATAAATGCAGGTTATGCTCAAATATATTAGTCTTAAAGTGATTAGCGCATAATACTGGCAAGTTAAAAAGAAATCTAAAAGTTTAAACCAGCGAGCGCCAAAGCAATGAAGTGCTAAAAACCTCACTCAATCACTTGTAAAAAGCCCATGCGGATAAAAGCTTTGTTTCCAAGTTGGACGAAGGCTTTAATGCCTGTATTGCTCTAAACGAGTTTATGTGTTATGTGCTCATCATTTTTCTCATCAGCTTCCTTGAACATTATTCTCTTAATAAAGCGGGAACTGCGTGTGGAATAAAAATGGACGTGATGCAGTACCAATAATGCTTTTACTCCAAAGTGACACTTCCCCCTCCCATGCATGCCTACAGGGTCAAAGCAAGATCCCCCTTTGAGTGTGGAAAGTGAAGGTTCCTCCCTTTCATTTTTTTTCCTGACATAACAGCCCATGGCTTCGCACACGTTGCAGTAGCTGCCCATGAATGCACAAAGCAGTCAAGAGTCTGTGCCCCAGTGGAGCTACAGAAACTGGATACGCCCGCATACCTTCTACCTTTTGAACAAAGGGGTTTGTAGCTACAACCAATTCACACCCCTGTGTTTTCCTTTTGTGATTCATAACCCTGCCTTTCCACTAGAAAACAGATATATATTTCCGGGGGGGGGGAATTCAGACAGCAGGTAAGTGAATAAGCGGATACTGATCCAACAGATGGCAGCCGGGAGGTTTCCTACTGTGGTCCTCAGGAAAGTGAGGACAAAGTCAACCCAGTCCTAGAGTTGGCCAGACTCACCCTGTGTTTTCCTTTTGTGATTCATAACCCTGCCTTTCCACTAGAAAACAGATATATATTTCCGGGGGGGGGGAATTCAGACAGCAGGTAAGTGAATAAGCGGATACTGATCCAACAGATGGCAGCCGGGAGGTTTCCTACTGTGGTCCTCAGGAAAGTGAGGACAAAGTCAACCCAGTCCTAGAGTTGGCCAGACTCACTTCCCATTTAGCAGATACTGATCCAACAGATGGCATCCGGGAGGTTTCCTACTGTGGTCCTCAGCAAAGTGAGGACAAGGGCAACCCAGTCCTAGAGTTGGCCAGACTCACTTCCCATTTCCTGTATCAAAATGGTGTCTGCTTATTTAGAGTATTTTAGTGTAGGCTGAAAAGGGGCATCCTTGATCAAAGTACCTGCGAAAGGTAAACAGGTGATGTTATTGCGGTTGATACAGAAATGAAAGGGCAGGTGGGCTCCCCGCGGGGGTGAATCTCTTGCGTTTGCGCCCACATCGCATGGCTCGTTTTTTGTGAGCAAATCGCAGCCAAAACACACCCACGGCCTGTCAGAGCAAAGGATCAGGTCCAGGATGGACGGTGGATTACCCACCCACAAGGTTTCAGCTGAAACGAGCCCACAAGGCACCGTCTTGCCCGGTCCTCTTCTGGGCCCAACCCGTTTAAATGGTCAGAGGGCAGAACTGGCTTAGGAGGGCTGTTGCTTCACGCTCTCAGAGGCGCTGGCTGGGGTCGCGGTGACCCAGGAAATCCAACATTCGGAAACCCATCGTAGGCATTCAGTGGGCCAGACTAGGAAAATGGCCAGTCGGGCCATGGGGAAGTTCTTGCAAAAGGTGGCAGGCCATGGTTTGGCAAGCAGGTACCCTGACTAGGAAAATGGCCAGTCGGGCTATGGGGAATAGTTCTTGCAAAAGCTGGCAGGCCATGGTTTGGCAAGCAGGTACCCTCCAAGCAGGCTAGACTACAACTCTCATTGTCCCCTGAATGGCCTCACTCATGATTCTTGTTTGGTTCATGTCTTACTATCATAACCTCGCACCTCTGATCAGCATTGAGACAGAGAACACACAGGAATAAATTCTGTCCAACCCGTGTGCTTGGAACAGGTTACAAAATCCTCATTTAAACTCATTCTTCACAGGTTTCTGAACCGAGGAAGTTGTGTTTAGAAGGGCTGACGGTGCTGCTCTCCTCTGTCTTCTTCGCTTCATTGATGAAGTTCCAAGAAATGCCTTTCTACCTACGGGGTGGGCGGCAGGGAGCAGCACAGCTGAGTCCCTCCCCAATGTTTCCAGCCTCCAACTTCCACAAGACCTGGGCAGCAAAGCCCACCGTGAGGGACTGTGGGAGAGGCATTCCAAAAACCATCCTGAGATCCATAAAGGCAGGTCCGTTGGTCTACAGAAGGGCCAAGACACCCTGAATAGGGAGAAGCACAGACTGAAATCTGATGGGCGGAAAAATAAGACCCAAAGCCGAAAGAGGCACACAGGCAGAGATTCCTTTTCCGACAGCAAATGCTACGAGCAAAACCTTCTCGAAGAGGAAGTTCAAAGCAAAAGCCCAACAAGAATGTATTAGAAATATGTTTATTGTAAAAATGTGGTACAGTTATAAAAAAAAAATAACCTGGATACTAGTGTTAGACATGGAACAAGGAAATAAAAAAAGGATACTTCTTAGCTTGGTATTTAAACATACCGGTCAAGAAAATCTGTGCATTTTTCACAGAAAAAAAGACTGAACCGAACATTTGGCTAATGATTAAAAGTCATTAAAGTTCCCAAATGGCTCCTTTCTGAATACCAAAAAGAACTTTTTGGCACCAAACGTGATCGAACAGGAGGCAGTGAGACCCCCGGACGGTTGCTCAAGAGACCTGGTGGAAAAGCTGGCAAAATTCTTTGCTGGTATCAAGTGATCTAACTGTTGGATGTCTCAGAAAGAACAGTGCATGAATACTGAGCACTATACTCCACAGCAACTAATACAACTTACAATCTGTAAGCAACAAGAGAGCAAGTGGTGAAGCCCAAACAAAGAGGACATCAGGTGTCATCAAGGGTTTGCAAAGTAATTATTTCCTGAGCAGGCAAAGAATTAAAAAAGAAAAAAACTTCTTTGCTGTCAAAAATAGAAAACTGTTTCCATCTGTCAAAAACTGACAAGAATGAGGGAGTTAAATATTAATCAAGAACAGATTTGGAACCACACCCTTGATATGGGGTTGCAAGAATTAAAACAAATTGTTGGCTAAAAAGAATCAGTATTTACTCCCCAACACCCCAGGAAACCTTTTTTAAGAAAGGCATTCTTGGAATTATTAACACTGACTTCAAACCAGAGGAAGGATTTTGAAGCTTGTTGTTTAAAGCTTGCCCGGTCAACAGAAACAAAACAAAGAATGCAAACAATTATTTATCGGAAAGTGTCTGCACTCTTTAGAACAACAGAAAAACGACATGATCCGTTTCATTTCCTAGGTGCCAAGGGTGTCCTCAACCTGTCACAGGGCCCCCCAATCAATGGGCTTCTTCCCAGACTTTTCCAGCAACTCGTTGGCTTTGGAGAAATGCTTACATCCGAAGAAGCCCCTGTGCACCGACAAGGGGGAAGGGTGAACTGTCTGCAAGACGTGATGGCGCTTCTGCAAGAAATCACAGATGTCAGACCTTGGGAGGGATACCCATCTGTCAGCATCCCTTGGCAACATGAGAGCTTACCAAGGAGGGAACCAACAGGATCAAAGCGCACAGAAGAGCCTTAACTCCTTCTCACAAATCACCCTAATGCTGCAATGCCAAAAGACTAGAGGCGTGGGCTGCGCATGACATCCAGTCTTGTGCAGTGGGGTAGAGACTGGAGCTTTGGGAGGTCAAGGTTCTAGTCCTTACAGAGGCATGATGTTCACTGGTGATCTTGAACCAGCGACCCCCTCTCCCCCTCTCCCATGCCTGCCTCAAAGTGAGGAACTTGTTAGAGAAAAAGCAGATCATTGGTGCCTGTCGTGTAATCAATAAAACATATGAGTAGGGAATGCTTCTTTCAGTGGGTGAAACATGTAGTGATTACACCTTGTTGTGCAGGAAAGACTGCCAAACAGGCCTGAAGAAGCCTCTGCCAGGGTTCCAGCATCCAAGTGGGTCCTGCGTCTCAACACAAGGGTGCCCTTTTCTCTCTCTGGGCTCCTCTCATCCCTCCCCGGAGCAATGAGCTCCTAAAAGCCACAGCAGAAGACCTGACTCCAGGCCTTGGGTCAGAGATTCTGCCCCAAAGTGGCCCAAAAGCACCCCTGCCCCCACCCCCATCGATCAGCTGTCCTGCCTCTCCAGGCTGACCTGACCCTCTGGAAAGATGAGGGAGCAAAGGCCGACGTACCCGGTCAATGGAGCTGCCTTTCTTCTGGGCATAGGCCCCCCAAAGAATGAAGACCAGGCCCTCCAGGTTCTTGTTGAGCCAGGAGACCACCGCGTCGGTGAACTGCTCCCAGCCTCTGTCTTTGTGGGAATTGGGTTGGTGCATCCGAACCGTGAGGACCGCGTTGAGCAGCAGCACGCCTGGAGTCCAAAGGGAGAGGAAGAAGCCTTGAGAAAACACAGATGCCTCCAAGCAGCTTCAAGAGGGCCTGCCTGGCAAAGCAGCTCTCTGAGCTCCCTTCCTCCTCCTCAGCTGGTGCCAGCAGGAAAGAAAGACAACGTGAGCAGGAAAAAAACAAACAACCCTTTGGAGGAGCATCACCACTCTCTGGTGGTTTTATCTCTCGGCAGGAGGAGAACTTGGCCTAGATTTTGAGAGAAGGAGTCAGCCTTTGCTCAAAAAGCAAGCAGTAAGCAGGTGAGTACTGAAATTCTACAGTTCGAACTACAGCAGATCCGCAGAACTAATGAAACTGGCATGGTTACTGGCTTCCCTATGGGTCACCCCAGCCAGAAACAGGTCCACTGCTTTTAGCTGAGACTAGCAATTGGCTTCAGGTCACTACCCAGGAGGACAGGAAAAAATCATAGTAGCAGTTGCAGAGAAGCCTTCCGCACGGTTAAGTAAAGCAAAAATAAGTCAGGATGCTAACTTACCTTGTTTAGCCCACCCAGTCAAGTCTCCATGGCCAGGATGAGAAAAGCCTTCGATATCTGTAGAAAGTTCTTTGTAAATATTCTCTAGGCTACAAAGAAACAAAAAGAAAAAGGACATCTTGAAACATAAGACCCATCAGGCATTACATACTCAGCAATTATCAAGCCAGTCAAAAGGAACACAGGCAGAAAGGCATCACAGTACGCTTGACACAAATGTAATTACAGAATTAAAAGCCCAACCTTACCTGGGTGGAGGTGGAACTGGTCTCTGAACACTGAAGCAGAGCCCATGGGCTTGGCCAGGTCCGTGATATGGATCTTGGCCCAAGATGATAACTTTCACCTAGAGAAAAGTTGCAAGAAGAAAATTTACAAAAACAGGTAAGGTTCAGCATCTGGCATTATTCCTTTTATCAGCTGATTCAGCCCAGCTTAATTATTCTTTCTGCTAGGATAAGGAACAGAGCTAGCCCACTTACCTTCTTCTAATGAAAACGTAACAAAAGCAACAATCTGGATATTGAATAATTCGCCATTTGTTTGTTAGACTATAATCAGTAAAAGCTGCACAGTTTGAAGCTAAGATATCTGGCAGGGAATCAGGCCATGAAGGCCACTTTCCAGGTTCTTCAAAGCCACAGCTACGACTGCAGGAAAAAGAATCAATCAATCAAAGATCAACAATGGTTAGCGCAAATTGACTCACATTTTGGATGTCACACATCTGAGTCCAGGTGAAGACCTGCTGTGCTGGTGGATACACAGTGTAGTGGCTACGCTCACGTGTAATAAAAGCCATCAGCTGGTTTGGGAGAGAGAAGCATGCCTCTTCAGATCACAGCAAGAGACACAACAGGATAATTACTGCCCTAACCTGTTGGCACTTTCTGATTAGAGAGGGAAAGAATGGCAATACCATAAAAGACCAGAGTGGTCCTCCGCGCTCACGTGTAACAAAAGCCATCAGCTGCTTTGGGAGAGAGAAGCACACCTCTTCAGATCATAGCAAGAGACACAACAGGATAGATTACTGCCCTAATTTGTTGGCACTTTCTGATTAGAGGGAAAGAATGACAATACCATAAAAGACCAGAGTGGTCCTCCATTCCTTTATGGCACTACCATAAAGTAGTAGTGCTGTAAAAACAATTTACTGCATATCCCATGGTACAAAGTGGGCAACTCTGCAGAAAACAGGGCAGACACTTAAGCATGCAAGTAGCCTGCTCAATATTTATATTCAATGGGAGTTCCGGCTCCCCAAGTTGCTGCAATGATCAAACAAGGTGCCAACTCATGCACAACCAACACTTCCTCAAATCCTCAGAGCTTCTGCAGTTGCTAATTCTGTGTACAGAAAAAGGCTGAACTACTGTATGCAACTATAGCAAGGGATACTCAAGAGAAACGGGAAGACTAAAAGTCATCGCTTAATTTCTGGAGAACTCCTAACAGGTGACTAGGGGCTGGTCAAATAGCTCCCATTCTTCTCAGAATATTGAATGGGGAGGCTCAGGAAACCAATGAATGAGAAGGGAAAAGGTGCAGGGAACGAATCGCTTCTCCGCTTCTCGCCCACCTCGGCGAAATAGGGCTTGGAAAACTCCTCGGCCAGCGCAACCCTCCAGCTGCCCGTGAGATCCGGGGGGATCAGGTTGGCGGTGCGGGCGGCGAGTCTCTGCCGGGCGGCCTCTTTGTTCTTGCGGATCCGCTCCAGCTGCTCCGGGGTGAGAGGAGACCATGACGGAGGCGCCTCGTTCGCTTTCGATCGCTTGCAGGCCTGGAAAAGAGAAAAGAAGCGAGTCAGGAAGGGGAAAAAGGGACTTGGGGAGAAGGCCCGAAGAGGAGCCGCCATCACCCCCCCGGAGCTCAAAACCCCCACTTCCGGCCGCAGGGAAACCACGCGGGCCTTTCGAGGGAAAAACAAACCCAACGCCCACCCACTGGCTCCCTATTGGCCGGCGCAGCCGCGAACGCACTTTATTGGTTCCTCCAGGGCGGCCCACGCCCACCCCCCTTCCCCAGCTGTGCCGCCGGCTGTTGTCCCGCCTTCCGGGCTTTTCCGATTGGCCGACGATATAAAAAAACACACACGGCCCCGCCCCTCCACTCCGTTGCTAAGGAAGCAGCGCCCTTATTGGTTGGCCAGCCACGGGCCCGGAACTGGACTCCCGTTTCCCCTCTTGCGAGCCTTCCTCAGATCCAGCCGAGGTTCCCTGAGGCCCCCTTCGACGGACTACAACTCCCATGAACCCCTAAGGTGGCGGGGAATTCCCCCCCATCCATCTTCAAAACCTCACAGGAGAGGCAGGACAGGCCGAGGTAAGACTCGAACCCGCGCCTCACTCACTCAATCTTTGGGGCGCCGTCGCCAGTTTTCCTCACGAGAAAAAAGGACGGGGGGCCCAGTGCTGCTTCAGGGCTTAGTCCCTCCCCTCCACACTCCTTATTGGCCAGGACGCCACCAAGGGCGCTCCGGATTGGCGGGCACCTTCTCCTCTCACGCCAGGCGGTAAAACGCCCCCCCACCATCCGCGGGCTCCCTTATCCGCCGCCCGGAAATATTATTTCTTATTTATTTCTAGAAAACATGTTTTGCCCCCCCCCGCCTTTCTCCTTCAAAAGGACCCCAGGGAGGCTTTGCAGCCTTAGAAAGACACCATTTAAAGTCGAAAGCAAGGAGGACAAAAAGGCCGCTGACCTCCTTAAGAGGCAGTACTACGTACTGTAATGAGGCCGAGGTTAATAAGTCTATATACATTTTAAAAAATGCCACCCTGAGCAACGGGGAACCCGAAAATGGAAAAGCCAAGTAGTAGAGGACTTAAAACCCAGTCAGAAAAGCAGTCATTAGGAAAGGACCCCAAGCTTGGCCTCCTCCTGTTCTTCAGTGAAATGAAATAAATAAACAACCCGGGGGGGGGCCGCATTGTCTTTCTATCTATGTCTTCCAGCCTCCCCTCCCCAGAAGCGGCCTTTCCTGGAGGGAACCAGAGACCCTCTCAAGGGCAGCTGTTCGCGCCTTCCTGCGGTTTTCGGCGTCCGCGGGGGCGCCTCAGGCGACGCTCCCCGCGGAGACCGCGGCCCTAGGGTCACGACGCCGTTAATGCTAATTATACTAATAACGCCAGCAATTAATAGTCCCAAAAGAGCCACCAGACCTCGCGGGCGGGGGAGTTCGAGGAGCGCGTCCGCTTCTCGCCGGGCAGCGGGGCGAAGAAAGACAGCAGCGACTTCTGCCCGATCATGGCGGCGGTGGAGGGGGGTTCCGTGGGCGGCGGCGGCGGGAGGGCGAGGGGGACCGGACCGGAGGAGCGGCCGCCGGGTCTTCTTCTTCTTCTCGCTCCTTTCCTTCCTCCGCCGTCCCCTCAGCTCAAATTTGGCGCGAAAGCGAGTGCGCCTGCGCGGCCGCACGAGCCCCTCGCCTCCCATTGGCTCTTGCCCGCGCGCGCGCAGCGCGGTGGCGGGGGGAGGAAGAGGGAGAGAGCGAGGAAGGGATGCGCGCGTGCGCAGAGGAGACGAAGGAAGCTGTGAGCGGCGGGCAAGAAGACGGGCGGAAGTCCCTGCTTCTTCTGCCTGGGAGGTGCAAAGCCTTGCATGCAAGGGTTGTGTTTTGGACTACAGTGCCCAGCATCCCCTAGCCAGCACGGGCGAAGGGCACTTGGGCTTTCGTATCCCACTCCCATGTGCCTTGGGCCAAATTGGATCAGCCTAGCAAGGTCCTGCCAAATAATAGATCTGGAAAACCTTCCCAAAGGAGAGAGGAAAAGGGTGATGAGAGGTCTCTCTCCCCCCCTTAAGCAGGTGCCCCTTTAAGGTAGACTGCCTTGCCCTGCTGCAGCTCTCCAGGTCTCGTGCAGAGCTACAGTTACCCCCTTCTGGGTGGAGGGATCACAACTCCCAGGGGCTAACTGTGTGTTTCCTCCAGAAATGATCCTTTTGTGTGTGTGATATTTCAGACCCTTGGGCGATTTTGGATTTGTCCATTCGGCAGGGGCCTTCGAGCAGCATCGCTGAGCTCATCCGGAGGAGGCGCGCTGTGGTCCCCGCAATCTGGGGCCAAAGAAACTCTTGTGAGGCCCAGAACGAGGTCAGTATTTAATCAGGCTTGGTTCAGCTCTCCTGCGTCCAGGACCAAAGATGGACAAATTCATCATCCGAAAGCCTTCGAAGACCACCGCAGAAAAGCGCAAGAGGAAAGCGGATGGTGCGCCGAAGGTGGAGGACGCTGACTCCCCCGAGGAGGGCCAGGGAACGCAGGAGAAGAAGCCACGGCCGGCTCCCGCGACTGATGCTCCTTGGAAGCAAATCCGGGCCGAGGGGCTAAACTGTGACTACAAGATCCTCTTCGGCAAAGCCGAGGCCGACCGCCTCTTCCAGGAACTTGAAAAGGAGGTGGAATATTTTGACGGTAAGCAGAGTGTCTGAACCACTCGTTTCCGGGGTTCTGTCATTAGGGTGACAGGACCCCAATGGTTGAAGCCCCTTGAATTGCATAGCTGGGGGCGAGTGCCGCTCAGCGACGGAGCGCAAGTGGGACCAGATTCGCCGGATGGCCCAAGGGAAGGAGAGGGGTCTATGGAGGAAGAGGACTGGGGGGGGGCTTCCAGGCAGCTCGGTCCCCAGGGGACCGAGAGAGCTTTACAAAAAACTAAAGTGAAACCTTAAGAGGGGAGGCAGACATCAAGAGCTAGAGTTCAGGGGAGAAGCGTCAGGCCAGCGAGTGAACCCGGGAGGCGCTCTCGAGCCCCTCGAGTCCACGGGCTTTTGGAGTCTTCCTTTGCCTTTGGCTCAAGAAATCCGCCCTGCGCTCTCCATCCTCTTCCCAACAGGGCAACTGACCAAGCTCCACATTTTTGGCAAGTGGCACAACATCCCAAGGAAGCAGGTGACCTACGGGGACCCTGGGTTGACCTACACTTACTCGGGGGTCACCTTCTCGCCCAAGCCTTGGATTCCGGTTTTGGACTGCATCCGGGACCGCCTTCGGCTGGCCACTGGGCACACCTTCAATTTCGTCCTGATCAATAGGTACTGGGTGTAGAGAGCAGGATGGGTGGGGGGCACACACAGGCGATGTGTTGTCCTTGGTCAGCTGGGGGTGGTCCACAGAAGCTGTCGTTGGTGAGCATTGAAAAGCATCTCCTGGGGCCAAGTATGAGTGTCAGCCACAGGCAGTGGGATCCCCATCCGTGGAATCTGGGAGCCTGTTCCTGTTGTTCTCTAGACACTGCTCGTGTACACACACACACTGTGTGTGTGTGTGTGTGCTCTAGACACTGCTCGTACTCGTACACACACGTGCGTGTGTGTGTGTGCAGGTTGGGTTGGTGCAGCCTGCAAAGGGGGGGGGGAGATATTAGAGAAAGCAAATGTGGGTTGAGTTAGTGCAGCCTGCAAAGGGGGGGAGATATTAGAGAAAGCAAATGTGATCCTGAAGGGCATAAAGGTGCATGCCCTTACATTTCCCTAAAGGGTTATCCCGGGAGGAGCAGAACATCCGAGGTGAATCCCGTTAGGAGCAAAACCAACCTTACTCGTTTTCTCTAATAACCCGAGAGTCTTGTGGCACCCTAAAGGCTGCTGCAGCTTATTTGCCAGAGGCTTTTTTGCAGTTCATGCCCCCACCCTCTGGTCTTTTATCTGTTCGTAAAGGACGTGGGCAGCCCTCCAGGAAAGCTGGTGCGAGAGGAAGCCTGGTCTGATTCCGGGTGGGTTTGGCAGGCCACCGCTCACAAACCGCCCCCTCTTCCCTCCGCAGGTACAAGGACGGCCAGGACCACATGGGGGAGCACCGAGATGACGAGAAGGAGCTGGCCCCTCACAGCCCCATCGCCTCTGTCTCCTTCGGAGCCCCCAGGGACTTCATCTTCCGGCACGGGGCTTCCCGGGGCAGGAACCCCTCGCGCCACCTGGGGCCGGTGAAGCTACTGCTGGAGCACGGAAGTCTGCTGATGATGAACTTCCCGACCAACCGGGACTGGTACCACAGCCTGCCCACCCGCCGGAAGGTCCTGGCTCCCCGCATCAACCTGACCTTCCGCAAAGTGCTGGCCCTCCAGGCCAGCCCGAGTGGGACGGACGCCCCTCGGTAACCCCAGATGTCTTGGCGAAAGGGAGGGGGAGAGGCTGAGGCTTCCTAGGAGAACTGCCTCCTCCTCAGAGTCTGGACCTCTGTTCTCCACGCAGGCGGAAGACAAGAGGCGCAGCATGTTTTGAGGTGGGCGGGGGGAGAAAGGGAGATGGAATTACCAGGATCTGATGTTCAGCCAGAAGCAGGCGTGGGGGGAGGGAGGAGAAAGGGAGATGGGAGTGACCAGGATCTGATGTTCAGCCAGAAGCAGGTGTGTAACAAAAACAGAATGGGGCCTTAAAAGACTAACAGATCAGTCCTGCACCAGATTTTCTGGATTGCACTAAAGCAGCAGCTCAGCGTGGAACCCCAATAAATCCCAAAATGAAATGTTGCCTTTGATTCCACAGTATTTTGATTGCACAGAGTACAAGATGTTTAAATGCCCCCCATTTTTGCAGATGCCGAGATCAGAAACGGATGCAGGGGTGTCTCCTGAAATTGAACAGGGAGCACCCACGCAGTTAGCACACAGCTCTGGCATCTGCTGCAAGAAAACCAGGTTCCGTGGAGAAGAACTGGATCACACGCACACACATACACCCCTGTACACAACTCCTTGAAAACAAGAACCACAGTTTATATTTAGCAGCTTTAAACATGTACAAAAAGGTTGGAAGGTTTAAAACCAGCAAAGACAAATAGAGGTTGATTTGGTAATAGTAGATCTCTTGAGAAACAGGAGAAGGGGTTCCTTTCTTTGCTAAGCTGCCTTCTCAAGACCGGGCCCAATCACCGTGATCGACCATTCACATGATTTCGAGGGGGACCATCATCAGCAAGGGTGGAGAGAGACTTCATACGTAATTCCACCCTTCTACCCGACGTGCTTGTGTCATATCACAGACACGGGGCTGGTGGCCGAGTGACAGACACACACAGACGCCACGGGGAGACCAGCCTGGCGCGCCCTCTCAGTCCTCTTTTCTCCTTCCTGGGGTTTCAGAGCCGCAGTCACGTGGAAAGCCCTTCGCCTTAGTGCAGGCGAGACTCTTGTGGGGCTGAAAATTAAGAGGTCAAGGCACTTTACAGGTTCGTTTCTGTACTCGGCACACCGAAAGGCGCTTCACGGCCGGTCACCTGGCCGAGCGCGTTCCGAAAGCAAAACCCTTCCGGAAGGTGGCCCCGAAGGAGCTTCGTCGCAACGCACACGGCAGAAGATGTGGTCTCAGCTTTAAATCCTCCAGCTGGAAACATTTAAGGGGAAGACGCACAAGAATACTTTCCCTAGCACAGGGACACACACGGACACAGCTAGTGCACCAGCTTCGGGCCACATCCTGTCAGTGGAGGTGCTTGGCTGCTGTCACCGGAGCACGGGCTGAGTGTTCAGGGGACGGAGAAATCTGCACAGGGCAAGGGGAGGCATCCCATGGACCTCTGGAGAAGGACCTCCCATTTCCGATCAGGGCAGGAGGGCGTCCAGGTCACTCCTCAGCGCATAGTACGGCGCTTTGCTGCTGGGACGGCGCCCTCGAGCGGATGCGCTCGTAAAAAAGCAGGTAGGCACTGGATGACAGGACCTCCTGCAGGGTCGATTTGCGCACCACGTCGTCCGAAACCCACAGCCACTGGTTGCTGACAGCCAGCGGGTTTTTGCACGAGGGTGGGGAGCGGCGGTAGGTGACGAAGTGCCCCGAATGCATGTCCCCATGGTGGACCACGACCGCCATCAAGCGGTAGAGATACGTCGGGGAGCTGGGGGGGGAAAGAAAAAAGAGCAAGAGAAAGCTGGGCAAGGGGAGGGTGTTATCCCACACCGAGCAACGAGATTGCGTGGTTAAGACCCCCGGGGAGGGCATTTGAAAGTAGTGGGGAGGCATCCTTGTGTCTTACCATCAAGGCAGGCAAAGATATGTGAGAAAACTGGCATCTGACCATGGAAATAGGCAATTATTGAGACAGAATTACTGTACTTTATTATACTGTTATTATAACTATCTATTTTATTTGCTATTATAGCTATAATTGCTTACTGTATGTTTTTATATTATATTTGCTATTGTAGCTATAATTGCTTACTGTATGTTTTTATCATTGTATTTATGTTATGGTTGTATTTTAACTGTTTTTTGGCTATTGGAATGTGCACTGGTATACAGCGCAATAGAAATGTTATTATCATCATCACCATCTTTGCCTCTGGGGAGGTGGCGCGGCCCTGCCAAACGTCGGGACTTACCTGCAGTCTGGAATGGCCACACACGGGAAAGCCACCGGGGAGGTCACCAGCAAAGGGGAGCAGGTGCCATTGAGGAAAGAAGGTCTGCAGCTCTCCGGCTGCTCTGGATCTGCAAGAAACAAAACACATCCAGGCCGGGGGGGGGGGGGGTGCTTAGAACGGGTCTTCTTCTTCTTCTCTACCGGTACCTGAATACTAACAAGATAAAGTCTGCAGTGTCTTCATTTATCAGAGATCTCTCCCTGGTTTTCATGCAACTGCTGCTTGGCTGGCTTCCAAGCAGGGTTCCCTGGGGATTTCCCCACATTTCCGGAAAAGCAGCTTTTTGAAGCAGTGGCACCTCCTGGGGTGGCCTCATGCACCGTAGTCTGAGTTAGAAAGGGTCTCTCCAAAAGGCCAGTTGCAGAATGTGGCCCCTACTCCCCCACCCCCTTGGAAACTTTGATAATAAAGCAACTTGCAAACCAACTAAGGCTGATTTGGGGAGGGGGATTCTGGAAATGGTTTTCTGGAAAAGCAGCTTTTCGAAGCAGCTGCACCTCCTGGGGTGGCCTCACGCACCGTAGTCCGAGTTAGAAAGGGTCTCTCCAAAAGGCCAGTGCAAATTCATAAACACCAGCTGTTAAAGATATTGTCCATCTTTCTGATTTACACCCTGCCTTCCTCCCGATTAAAAACACGGCACAAACAAGCACAGACGCTCAGGCATTAGAGACAGAGCTAAGCAGCAAAATAGGGCCATAAACACTACAGAGTTAAAACCCAACGAAAAGAGAGACTGATTTTAAAAAGGACAGCACCCACCCGTTTAAGACCCTTCCTTGGCAGCCCCATGATGCACCAAAGCCTGCCTGGGTAAAACAGCCTCCGCTTGGCCATGAAAGAGCAGGGAAGCAGACCGGCTTTCCTCAGGAGTTCCAAGTCCACCTGGCCTCTTGAAAACTGACGATGGGTCTTTACTTCTAGGTATGCGTTTTTTCCCCCTCCAGAGATGAGGTGGAAGGAACTGGAGGGGGACCAGAACTCTCTCTTTTTGGACTACAACCCCCCATCCTTCCCACCCATCCAGCATGGCCACTGGACAATGTTAGGGGATTCTGGATGCTGCAGTCCAAAAACATAAAAACTTCTCTAAAACCTGAGGAGGACCAACAACGGAGACCCACAGACCTGCCCGCTGGTCCGCCCCCTTCTTCCTGCTTTGTGACCCACCTGGGCTCCCTTTGAACCTCATCAAGAGGCTGCCAACCACTCCCGCCCTCTTGTCCCATCACCCACCCTCTTTGGCATCCGCCAGCGCCTGGGGGATGCCGTCCACGGCCTTCGGTTTCTGGGTCGGGAAACGATGCTTGTAGACGTCCATGACGAGGAACTCGCCAAACTGGACGTGCTCGTTGTGCTTCAGAGGCATGCCGTGGTTGGACCAGCTCAGCCTTTGCAGGTGGATGCAGAGACACTGAGGGAGCTAGGAGGGAAGAACCACCCGTTTAGGCCCCAGAGCAGGAAAAGGAGGAAAGGAATTTTCCTTCTGCAACACACAGACATGCATACTGCGGGGGGGGGGGGAGAGCAGGCCGTTTCCCCAAATGGAAGCCGCTGGACCTTCACGCTTGCCAGAAGCTTTCCCAGAGGAAGGGGGAAGCAGGTCTTACCTTCCCCAGTTTTAGCTGCTTCACGAAGGTGGTTCTCTGGTTCTCTCGGATGTGACCGCGCCCGTTCTCCTCTGTCTGGATCTGCAGAGTTTAAACGACAACACCAGCAAAATGGAAATGGCTTCTAATGGTTTCGTTGCATTTTTAAAGAAACAGATCACTTCCCTTTAAATCATCTCGCTGAGCTGGGTGCTACTGTCCTATTGGGTGGGTGGAAAATAAAGGAGCCTTAAAGTACATCGAATACAGATCCACCCCCAATGACCGGGAGCACCCACCCTCCCAGCCGAAGCGGCCCTCAACTCAGAGGACCTACTTTGGTGCAATTGTCACACACAACACCCTTGACCGACTCGGAGGAGATGAAGTGATGGAGGCAGCGGTCCAGCGTCAGGGGGTGGCCCTGTGGACAAAGGGAGGAGAGGGGAGTCAAGCACAAAGCACTCGTGAAGCATATGGAAAGGATGCAAAATGTGAGGCGCTTACCCACACGGCAGCAGGAATGCTCAGGGATAGGCTGTCAAAGGTGTCGTACCTCAGAGGGCTCTGGAAGGGAAAGAATCCCTGTGGTTCAGATCAAACCAGCCTCAACGGAGGACCAAAACAGCCAACCTTCCTCTCCCCCTCCTCTAGGGGATCTTAAAAGAGTTCGGGAACGTCTTCACCCACTGACCAGACCGGGTCTCTCTCTCTCTCTCACCCTCCCCACCCGCCAACCCCTGCATACCTGGCATTTGCACCGCTTGCACACCGTGTTACTGGTCAATCGCCCATGGAAAGGATGCTGCAGCTTCCAGTGGCTCAAGAGGGGATGAGGTGACCCTAGGGACCAAAAGACATTTTACTCTGATCGCCCGGCCAGTTTCCAAAGTGGGGTCAACATCACTGCATTCCCCTTGTGCAATAAAACACTGGTTTATAAACAGACCAAAAATAAATGCTAAAATAAGCCAAAGTATGTGCGTGTGCACACACTGGGAGCTCCAGAAATACCCTCCACACACGTGTGCCTGAGGCACTCGGAAAAGGCCCAATCCTTGACATCTCGTGGCAAAAGATACATCTCAGGGGACTGGAAAAGAGGTTTATTTTTTCCTCCCTAAAGATTTACTGGCAAGCAAAGCTGGCCATATAAGTTCCCTCTCTCTCTCTCTCTCTCTCTCTCTCTCACACACACACACACACACACACACACAAACATCTGCCAGTTTGAAGCAACTTCTGGTTTACTGCCTATAAAGATCCTGGATCAGAGAACAAGGGGCATCAACGAGAGAAACACTACAAAGACTTTTCCACCCGCCGGAAATCAAATGAGCATTTTTACCTCTTGTTCTGCAGCATATTTGCTTCTGGGGCCTTTCTGGCTGCTACACACATGCAAAAATAAAAGAAAGCTTGGTTTAGGGTATGATCAATGCCCATGGCGGCCTTCCCATTCTTTGCATTTACACCAAGAGAATGAGATGTCCGGGCAAAAAGGCCCCGCGGCCGTCTGCCAAGAGAAAAGGAGGATGCTCAGCTGACAGAAGGGAAAAAAAGCAGGACTTTCAACAGCGCAATCCTCTGCAGGCTTTCTCAGAAGGAAGCGCCACTGATGGGATTCGGATGACGAAACCTGGAAGGACTTTCCTCTGGGCTGAGTTGGGTGGTTTCTGAGGATTCAAGCTTAGCAGCCCGAAGCGCTTTGAAAGCCAAGCCTCTCTCCAGGCCAAAGCTTACCTCCAGCGATTGCACATCGAAGAGAGGCGTCACCCACGGTTGGCGGTCTCGCTCGTCCTCTAGCGAGGAGGTAAGGACGTGGAAGAGCTCGTGAGCATCCTAAAACACACAAAAAAAGTTAGTTTGTGCCACGGACAGTGTCCCTGTTTCTGCCCCCCACCCCCTACCTGCCATTTTTAGGTCAGGGGAGGAGACTTTTTTAAAAAAAACAAAAAAAACTGAAAGCAACTTCTGGTTTCGAAGGAAAAACCCACCGCCCTCGATCCTAAAAAGATGGAGGGAGGTAAAGAACAGAAAAGTTTTCCCCTTGTAGCCCCTTAAGGGTGTTCTGGGCCTCTTCTGGGGATCTATTAGTTTGTGCCACGGACAGTGCCCCTGTTTCTGCCCCCACCTGCCATTTTTAGCTCAGGGGAGGAGACTTTTTTAAAAAACCAAAAAAAAAAAAAAATTGAAAGCAACTTCTGGTTTCGAAGGAAAAAACCACCGCCCTCGATCCTAAAAAGACGGAGGGAGGTAAAGAACAGCAAAGTTTTCCCCTTGTGCCCCCTTAAGGGTGTTCTGGGCCTCTTCTGGGGATCAAAAAATATATATAAATTTTTCAAGGTGGTCAATGGATGGGGTGGGGAACGCCTCCCCCCGGTCTCTGGAATTAGACCTGCCCTTTCCCCCCCCCCCATCAGTAGCACAATTAATGTATTTGCTTTTTTGGGGTGAGGGAGGGAAATCCTACTTCGGTAAATGCAAACAGAACAGACGTTGGAAAAAGAAGCCTCTTTGTCCAGGCAGCTCACCTGCTCTTCGAAGGAGGAGATCTGCCACCGGTACGCCCTTAAGACTTCCAACAAACAGCTGGCATCCAGAAGTTCATCCTCAGCTTCTTCTTGGCCAGATAATGCTGAAAGAATTGAATAGGAAAGGGAGGCCCACGGTGACCGCAGAATGCAAAAAAAAAAGGAAGCCATTCACTACCTCCCAAGTTTAAACCCCCATTCTCTGAGGACAAAGAAAGTCCTTTGCTATTTTTCTTTGGGCTTTGGACAGCAACACACAAAGAGCCAAACGGGAATATTCCAGCGTCCAGGATAAGACCAGAGAAGGACAGGGCATGAGGTTCGAATGAAGGGGAGTCATTTCTCAGAAACAGGGCTCGCGGCATGCACTCTGCCCAAGCCAAGAGCAGAGAACCGCTTTCGACCAGAGGGGTAAAACCAACAGCCCTGTCAAAGGCAAATGAGGCAAAAATGTGGGACCCATCATCTCCAACTTAGAACTGCAGAGATGGGAGAGACCTTATGGATCATGGAGTCCAGGCCCCAACAAAGAGGCCCCCTTGGGAATCCAGCTCTCAACACCTAAACCACTGAGCAATCCAGCAGCTCGCTGTCCTATTACATCCGTGTCAATACGCCAAGATATTGCAAAAAGGCTGTCACCTTGCAGGAGGTGGAGCAGAGTGACAGACAAAGACTGGCGCCCCGGCGTCTCGCTCGGTCCAGCCGGGAAAGGGCTGGTGAACCCTTCGAGCCACTTAATGAAGGAGGGGCAGGCAGCTAATCCTTGAAGGAGGGAGTTCAAGAAACACGTGTTCCCCAGGTTCAGCAGGCCTGGCACCAGCCCTGGAAGACAAGAAAGGCAGAATGAGTGCCACATTCCGGTGGGTGGATTGGACTCGACAACAGAGCTGCCCTAGGAGACTGTTCTTGGTGGCTAACAGCATCTGCCAGACAACACCTTTTACTGCAAAAGAAAGGTTAACTGCAATGCCTCGATGCCTCCAGGAGCGGCGATCCACCATTGAAGCAAGCCAACGGGAACAGGATATAGGTCACGGTGTTCAGCAGGTTTTCAGACTCACAGGAAGAGCATAACCAGACCGGTCACCACTTCTGAGATTGTTTCCGGGCGAGATAAACTGTTCACGAGAACCCCCCCCACACACTTTCATTTGCTCTCTTTTTCTCACGCACCTGCTCACCCTTACCTTTCCGGCTTTTTTTCCTCTCCGCAATGGGACCCCACAGGACGTAGACGCTGGCGGCCAGAGCAGCCGCCACCCCACCGATCACCCCCCAGTTCTTCATGACTTGACCCCTGAGCACAAAAAGGGGGGGAAACACAGTTATGTCCGTTCCGTCTTTTCCTGCCAAAGCAACGGGAAAGTCAAAGGGTATTCCCACACGAACTAAGAAGGACGAGTCTTTAACGATCAAGCTTCCCACAAAGATAACCATCTAATAACCCAGTATCTTGTTTCCAACCAACGTTGACCAGATTTGAGTGGCATTTTTTCTCTCTCTGTACTTTCTGTCCTTCTCAGAATTCCAGGACACTTTACAAGCATGGGCGAAAACGGCAACACAATAAACAACGAAGCTCGGAAAAGCTGCAAGGTGGGACTACACTGACCAGACTCCTCAGCCACTGCAGCTCCAGGGGATTCTAGGCATTGTATTCCCACCTCCACCCACCCCAAAAAACACAATCTTTCCACACTCCAGTTAAACAGTGTCATTTTCGGTGTAGTCAATGACACCATCTTCGACAAGGGGGTGCAATGGTGACACAGCTGGCCGATGACTCCGAAGCCCTTGGGCCACGGTTGTGAAGCGGCAATGTTGGGCAAGGAAAGGCGGGCCACAACTGCAATCCCTAAGATCCAGAAATAAATACTGGGAAGCCCACAAACAGACTGACTCTCCCCCCCCCAAAGGGCCACTGAACTAAGCAACTCCTTCTGTCCTTAAGTGAGTTTTTTAAAGTGTTCGATATTGTCTTTTAACGATACATATATTGCCACCTTTTGTATGCTCACGGTTTTGATCTTAAATATGGTCTTTCAATGCTGCAGGCCAACTGGGGTCCCCCCCCTTTTTTTTCCCTTAAGGAGAAAGGCGGGATTTAAAAAAAAACACACATTTTAAATAAATAAATCAAGCCAGCCAGCCCTGCTTATAAAAAGCGGGTCACGGGGAAGGCCTCCCAGAAACCCATGGCCGAAAGACGAAGTGGCCAGTCCCTCTCCTGCCCTCTTTGTCGCCTGGGAACCCCGGGGGTAGACTGCTCTTGCAAGGGGAGGCTCTGGTCCGCGTTCAGGAAGACGGCGGCCACAAACACACACACACACACACACACACAAACCAGCCCTGACCGCACCCAGGCTGACCTGACCACCCGCCCGGCTCTCAGGAGCCGCCGGACCGCCGCCCTGTCCGTCTCCTCGGCCCCACGGCGGCCCCACAGCATCCCACGGCGGCTCCCTCCGCTCGCCCGGCCTGGCGTCGTTGCAGGTCGGAGGCGGAACCCAAGCGCACGGGGCGCGCGGGGAAGGGGGGAAAAAGGACGCCGCGGACCGGAAGCTGCCCCCCACGCCCGGAAGGCCTCCTAGGAGCAGGGGAGGGGAGGGCGGGTCGGCGCGCAAAGATGTCCGGGTTGCTCCCCGCTGCTCTGAACTTATGGTTCCGGCGTGAGGAGAGGGGAAAGAGAAGAATAAAAATCGCCAAGAGATTTCCTCAACCGACTCTATATTGCAGAAATCAACAACATCAACAAAGTACAGAGACCTGGCAAATCAAAATTCCATCTCGCCTGTGGAAGAGACACACTTCCGTGGTCCCCGTAGTCATTGAGCTTTGGGAACAATATATCAAGACATTTCACACCGTACTATAAGCGGTTGCAGATCTCAGAAATCACAACATACATCAGAGCTACAAAAAAAAATTGGCAATATTAAGAACAGCATACACCTCGCACAGAAATTTAACAGATCCTTAGGTTTTTGGCACTATTAAGAACAGCATACACATTGCACAGAAATTTAACAGATCCTTAGGTTTTTGGATCAAAATTTGTATCTGTTATATAATACCAGTCAATGTTTTTATAATTCTGACTGCCTGGTGTTTCTGAATCATCAACAACAACCTTAGAACTGGAAGGGGCCCTCTGGCTCCTTCCAGTTCAGCCCCTGTCAAGGAGTCACAGTGGGGAGAGAATTGACCCCCCCCCCGACTTCTGGCTCCGCAGCCAGAGACCCAAACCCCTGAGCTATTTTGTTCAAGCACATTTCAGTAAATAGGAATAGAAATGTGCCTTTTTAAAAAAATACAACAGTGAGGTTGTAGTTTTGAGAAAATAGATTTGGGAATCAAATCTGCTGACCCAGAGAAGCCCAGCTGCATCCAGCAGTGAGATTATAGGAAGCTGCTCCTTAGAACAGCTGACAGCAATCACAGACTTGCTAGGGAGGAAGGATGATGATGAGGTAAAATGGGAGAGGAAAGCGTCTTTTTCCAGCAAGGAAGGAATCAAAAGCTCAGCTGGGAAGATAGCAAGGCAAGGACTCTTCACAAAGCCTGGGAGGTTATGTGAAGGCTCTTGGCAAGCAGGTGAAGCAAAGCGCAGCCGTCCTCGGAGGGAAAAGAAACAACACTGGAAAGCTGCAAAAAGGGATGCTTTCCCCCCCAAATGTCTAGTAGGTTTTGAAAACTCCAAATGATCCTCCTTCCAGTCCATTTCCTGCAACCAGAGAAACATCAGCCAGGAAGGTTCTGCATTTTAGATTCTCCCATGCAAGAGGGACATTGCGAGGGGAATGAAGAAAGTTTTTCCAAAAGAGGGAGAAATCACCACGTAGGCTCGACCTCCAGAAAACTGTCCATGGGATGAAGTATCCCTTCTACATCCACCTGATTATTTATATCCATGAGCTCTGCTGTTACCAAATTCCTCTTCAAGGCTTCTTGCTGCTGCTTTTGCTCACACAGGAGAGAGAACACACCTTTGCTGTGGCGGAAAGCAGATCCGTTTTCTGAACTATTATCTTCAACAGCATTCACGTTGCAAGCATGTCAATGGACAACAATACTGTATTTTTTATATCTTGTTTATAAGTTTGTGGTTGTATTTTAATGGCAAGTTGCTGGTTTCCTTTGAGGAACTGACTACATAGCGTGGGATCTTCTGGATCTGGGCCGGACATCGTGCAGATTTCCGGGAACAAACTTTCTCCAGCTGCAGGGGCTCTTTGAGGAGATGACTACTTCTTCAGTAGAGACTGGAGTCTTCTGGATCCAAGTTCGAGAGCTTTGTCTAAGGAAAGCATCCTGGAGGTTTCTGGGGATGAGGTTCCCCCCCCCCAGGTTTAGGACCTAATTACTTGTCTGAACCTCTTCTGCCAGGTTCAACTGGTTGTCAGACCTGGTCCTCACAGACCTCTCTCCTGCAGGTGTTGATACCTTGAGAGGGCCGAAAAACATCAGAGCAGGGCCTTCTCAGCTGTGGCACCATCCTTATGGAGTGTGATACCCCAGGTGTTACGACAGGCAACCTCCCTTCATGCCTATACGAAGCTTCCCAAAACAGCTTTTTAAGAGACGCTTTTGGGAAGGTCCTCCCCAATTAACTGGGACATATGTGAGATGTATTATCTTTAGCAATATTTATTCTGCTGCCAATCTTGTTAGTTACGGTGGGAGATTTGGTTTGTTATAGCTAATTTTTATATAATTTGTCTTTTCATTTCTGTTATACACCGCCCAGAGTAGCAGTTTGCTAGACAGGTGGTATATACCTCAAATAAATAAATAAATGAAATGAAATTATTTTTAGAAATATTACACTTCTAGGAATGCTTCAAATACATTTAGGAATATATGGGTTACAGAAGCATATATAAGTTTTATAAACATTATTTCTATATTTATAGTAACTTAAAGCAAGTCAGCAGGAAAATCCTGGATCTCTTTATGAAATAGGAAAGGAATATCCTTTTTTAATTAAGAAATCTGCTATTACAACTGCGGTAAAATAATTCTAAACAAGTTTGTAGATTAATTGTATTTTTTCAAAAGGATAGTGGTTTGTATCCTGTTTCTAGCCTTTTCACTGGCAAGGAAGATTTGGGGTGAAATTTAGAAGGGGGGCATAATTCACCAGGTGCCCTCGACTCTCTTCATGGTCCAGCTGCTTCATTCATTCCCACCCACCCTTTTCTTCTCCTCTGCCTTTATGAATCACTACAGTATTGCTGTTTCTGTCTGAATTTTCTTAAGATTTGAATGCTGCAAATGATTAGGTTTCCCATTCCATTCAATAAAAGCTGCTCTTCTGTAACATCAGCGTCTCTCTTTGACCATATTTTAGTCTACTTCACTCCCCCTCCCAGCCCATTAAGAAGCAAGAGCTCTCTCTCACTACAAAACAAGCTTTGCATTTCCTTTGCATGCAAATATCTATTTTATAGAAAAGGAAGCAAAACTGCTCCACTAAAGACAGGCAACTGGTATCCTTTGCTCTCTTTCAGAATAATTAAGTACCCTCTCCCCTGTGCTAGCTTTTGCTAATGCAGACAGAAATCTATTTTCCCCCCTAACAGAAAATGCTTGCAGGAGCAACTATCTCAGAAATCTCTCAGAAATCGCTAACTCTTCTGTTATTGTTGTTTTTTTCATTTAAGTCCCACTAAAAGGAAAATAACTCATCTGCTTAAGAGAAAGCCAGTCAAAGAAACCTCAGAAAATGTCTCCCAGAGAAGTCTGCAAGTAAAATATATTTCCCCTCTGACTTTTATTTTCTTGGGACACTTCGTTTTGATCTTAAACCAATCAGAGGCCCAAAGCCAGAAGGGCCTCCAGGTGTCCGTCATTCTGCTATCCAAGTTTGTACAACCTTAAAGAGACGTCCCGTCGGTGGTACTATTTTGGGAAACGATGCCATCTGAAACTGCAGGAAAAGCACTGGAGTTAAAAGGGGAGACAGCAAATAATTCTGCACTGAGATGCCTTTGGGTGCGGTGGAGGTGCGTCAGCCTAGAAAAGCAAATGCAACCTGATCAGAACAGATTGCAAGCATATCCAGGTTTTCTCAGGCTAGAATCTAGATTCTTCCTTCCCCAGCCGGTTACTCAGAAACGTGACTGTTTTTGTATTATAAACCCCACAGTCCCCCAACCAGCATTTCCACAAGCCCTCCATATCACCAGGCCACCTTATCATGCTAGTCCTGTAGCTGCCACCTGTGGAACCATTAGCCATTGCCCGGAGCTACAGATTCCACTCTTGGTCTTCCCTCAGCTGAACATCAGCTTTAAAAAAAAATAATATTTCATAATATAAAGGGGAAATGAGGTTGGCATTAGCAGTAGCTAATCTGTTGTGGTGTTGCAAGACTCTCGGTTATTTTGAAATGTACCTCTTTGTATTTAGGATGGTGCAGGGTTGTTTTAAAACAAACCTGCTAACCTTTCCAAGAAGGCCAGGAGACCTTTGGTTAGTTGGTTTGCTTTCTTTCAATAAAGGAATCGGTTGGTTCTTCTCAAGATTCCTGGCTGTTCGCTTTGGGGATCCCCCCTCCCCGCGCCTGCTTCTTTTGAAACCAATTCTGCTAGCCTCCAGGGTGTCAGGAGAGTCTTGTTCGGATTGGTTTTGTTTTAAACAAGCCACAAGAGTCTGGGGGGGTTGCTTGTGCCTCCAGCAGCCTGCCCGGAGCCTGGCCGCAGACCTTCCTCGCAAAATGCCCATAATTCGACCACAGGGCCCTAGGGGTGGCCCTGCACCCTGAAGCCACAGGAGCAGGGAGGAGAGGCTGTGCAAAGCAAGCGAGAGCCAGCCAAGTGGGAAGGGACTTGGCAGGCGGAGGAGGAGGAGAAGGAGGGAGAGGAGGGGAGGGAGGGAGGGAAGCCAGCCACCCAGCCAGCTCCCGCTCCTGCTGTCGGGGCTGCTCTTTCTGCTCCTCTCCGCCGCCTCCTCTTCCTCCTCTTCTTCTTCCTCCGTCCCCGGCCGGCTTCCTCGTCGCTCGCAAGGCGGCCGGCTTGCAGCTTTGCAGGCTTGCGGGCGGCGCTCCGGCACGGGAGCTGTCCAGCGCCGGGAACCTCCTGAAAGCGCCCGGGCGCAGGCGGAGGCGGAGGCGCGCTCCGGCCAGCCGCGGGCCCACCATGTAGGAAGCGATGCGCCAGCCCCCGCCAGCCCCACCTTTGCAATGGAGGAAGATTTATTCCAGCTGAGACAGTTGCCGTGAGTAGGGCGCCCGGGAGGAGGAGGAGGAGGGGCCCGCAGCTCTGCCCCCCCCCGGGAGGGAGGCTCCACGGGGGAGGGGGGGAAGAAGCACCCCCTCGGTCCGTTGGGGAGACTGGGGCTTCCTTCCTTCCTTCCTTCCTTCCATTCATCAGCTCCTTCCTTCCATTCATAAGTTCCTTCATTTCTTCTATCCATCATCAGTTCCTTCCTTCCTTCTATCCATCATGAGCTCCTTCCTTCCTTCCCTCCCTCCCTGCCTGCAGGGAGATTTTTTTCCCCCTTATTTTGCACAGAAGCCTGTAAGGCTTCTAGGCCTGAATGAATCCTTTCTTTCTTCCCCCTCCTGGGACGATCTGGTTGGCAGATATGATCTCTCCAGACCTTCCAAACATAATTTTTCTAAAAAAAGAAGGAAGGAAGGAAAAAAAGAAATGTCCCTTGCAGAATTCTGTCCTCAGCATCTGTTTCAAAAGGAGGTATCAGGAGGACTCCTCCAAGCCAGGCTTTGCAGCCAGAAGGGAGGCTAAAAAAATCTGCATTCTAGCTATCCATATTCATCCACCACTGCCACCCCCTCATTTCCTCCTATCCTTTTTTCCTGGCCTTTTTGTTTATGAGGTCTCTGTGTAGAGGGGGGGGGGAATCTTGGTGTTTTCCTGCAAAAGGCAGCTTTGCAGAGAGGTGCTCCAGGCAAAGAGGTGGGCGCTGGGGAACTCTGGAGGGGGTTCAGAAGGCATGCATTTGGCATTGATGCACCAGGCGTCTGTGTGTCTCCAGAGGTGCACGCGCTCGCCTGTGTGGGTGCGGAGGAGGGGAGGGGAATGCCTACCGCTCGGAGGTGTGGCGTGAGCAGCAGTGCGACCCACGCAGCATGCCAGGGTGAACGTTTTGCAAGGCCTCTCCTTCCCAGGTTTGACAGCCTGGAGCTGATCGCGGCCGCCTGAGCTGTATTGTTGTTGCTGCTGGCAGGCAACAAGTTTGGGCACAGCTTGTGGTTCCATACGAGAGCATTCCTTTCTTGGCATTCAGGGAAATATCTTCTTTCTTTCTCTCCCCCCCCCAATGGATTTGGAGGGTTGGTATCATTAACTCCATTTCAAGGACTCGGGGTTTCCTTGTGCATACAAATAAATGAAACCCGCTGAACATTTTCAGAGATCCTAGTTTTGTTTTTGGTTTTTTTTTTACAAAATTTGATTTAATTCATTTATTTTTGCAAAGGCAGGAGCATAAAGGCACAGAGGGTCTTGCTTCTGAGCAAACCTCGTGGGGCTCAGGCGGTGGGCATTGGCCTCTCTTTTGCTTCCTGGCTCCGGGCGGCTTTTGTTTTCAAAATAAGCATTCTGTTCCTCAGAATAGTTTGCACAGTCCCGGAAGAAGGTCTATTAAAGCCTAATATCCGCTCTGAGTCTCCACTGGGATCTGAGGGCAATTTGGTCCGGTATTACAGTTTCCCAAACTTATGGGACGTTCAAAGCTACCGTTGAAGGATGGGCGACAGTCTTCGGGAAGACAAAAGGGTGCCCTCTTCATGGGGAAGACCATGGTTACATGTCATCCATTCATCTTTCTAAAATATTTTCCCTTTCCAAAGAAGTGGAAGTACTCAACACAGCAGCATTCCCCAAACCAGTTCTAAGGTGATGGTGATGACAAAGATTAACCTGCTGCTCTGCCATTTTCTTGTACTACAAAGTTCTCCATGGGCCAATGGGAGCTGTAGTCCAAAACATATGGGGTGTGTGTGAGTGAGTTTTAACGATTCATGGAAGATGCGGTGAACCACAAATGTGCTTAGTCCAGCCTTCTTTTTCTGAGCTTTTCACTGGATCTTTCCATGGCGAGGCTGAGATTCAAACTCAGAACCTTATGCCTGCCAAGGATACACTCCAATCTCCAAACAAAGGGGGAGAGGGCCTGTGGGACTGAAAAGGCAAGCCTGTTTTGACAGAAGGCTCTTAAAGTCAGCCAATAAGGCCTTGGGAGATGTCCTTCCGTCTTTTAGAAGAGGATGGAAAAGATTCATTTATTTATTTCAAATATTTCTACCCCTCCTTTCTTCTTACAAAAGACTCAATGCAGCTTCCATCATTAAAAGACAAAAAAGATGGCAAATCATTCAACGAAAACCATCTG